GTACTGGTACTCATAATGGTGAATGAATAAACTTTCAAGCTGAATTTAGTGAGTCAAAAATTAACCAAAACGAGCAAGAACTGTAACAAAAAACTTATTAGTTGGTGTCTAAGTTAGATTTTAGTCGAAAAATTTGTGACATCATTGCAAAATCAAAACTCGTGAAACGATTGCCTTACGTAACCTACTAGTCAGTTTTCTTACAAAGTTTAGTTCAAGACCTCTAAAGTATGGATAGTACAACTCACGAACACCGCGAATTAAGAGTTTTATTTTTTCGATTCTATTTTATTGTTGCAACTATTAGCATAAAAAATTTGGCAAAAACGATGTCTGCATGATTGAAAACAAGAAAGAACTGCTAAAAAGACATTTGATAACACGACGTCTGAGCTTGCAAAATTTTTTAATAAGTACTGAAGTCAATTAAGAGTGCTTTCATTGATGAAAATTGATCATGCATGGAGGTAGTTGCAGTTTTATATACTTTCATTGTACATTTAGAAAACGTTTAGGTGATGTGGATACACAGTGATATGGATGATACATTGATGGGATCTACTCAACAATCTCTACCCCCCTTTCAAGAAAGGGGTGATTCTTTAATAGATACAATAGGGGGGGGGGACATTGTTATGTAGATCCCATTGATGAAACAGAGATTAAATATGGATGCTGTGATAAAACCTTAATACCTTTCCTCGTTTTGCAATAAAAAGCGGCAGTCAAATTTTAGTTTCTGTTTTTCACAAGACAAGCCGTGGTGATGCTTGACCAAAACATAACTATCAGATTAGCAGCCAGGTAATTTTCTTAAATTTTTTTGGGTTTTTGTGCGGAATTATTTTGAGGACGAAGATCCAAATTTATTAGTCTATGTGTAATAAAAATTTATGTTAAGTTCTCTCTATCACGCCATGGGACCCTTAGGTTTTAAAAACTTAAAGGTATCCCATTGATACTTGGTTTGCTGCAAACAATTATTTCGAAGTTTTTCTGGTACAATGCAACATTCTGACTGACAATTTTCTTGAATAAATTTTTTTGCTAAAGTCAAATCTGCACCAGAAATATACATTCTGTAGTTTTGAGACCATATACACAGGTTAAAGAGTTGTAGTAATGCCGGCTTCACTCGTGATTCATTAAAGAAATATCCTTTTGCATTCGCTTTTTCTGGGTGAATCGTTTTACTGACATCAAAACTTCAGGCATGATTCATCGATGAAACATCAATTAAATTTGAATCCATCATCTAAGAAGTAATATGAATGAAGATCAACAAAATGGCACTGCAATTTGAATGATTCATGAATGCCAAAGCTGAACAAGACTGCTCGTATCAGGGCGAAGCCCAGAATTTTCCGACTGCCTTTATGGGATTATGGAGCAGAAATAACATTACAAAATTAAATGTATTAAAATAAAATTTCACTAAAATTTTAAATTGTTCATGAAAATCGTCACCTCACACACCATATAACGTTCAAAAGGATAGATTTCGCTCCTTGTAACAAATAAAATATTGTAAAAAAGCTTCTTTCAACCAATTTTGAACGTTTTCTAAGACGGATTAATTCTCCGCTTACACGTTAATAGCGCAAAATATATCGCGCGTTAATTGTCCCAAATTGGCCAAAATGGCAGTCTTTAAACACCCGGTAACTTTACGAAAAAAGATCACAGGTAAAATATCTTTTCGAATTGAAGCTCAAGACAGCAATACCTTTCAAATGATATATAAAAAAGTCGAAACAATAATCTAATGCATTTCTGGGAATATATTGCAAAAATCAATGCGCGTTGTTCAAGTGGCTGAATCTACCAATTTTAAACTAAGCGAAATTAAAAGTTTGCTGTAATTTTGCATTTAGGAATTTGTCATAATTTGGTTGCTCTTGCTTTCCGCTTCTCCCACTGTCAGATATTCAGTTGATTTTTTTTTGGTAATTGAAGAAGTGTAAACGGTTTCAGTTTTTCAATAAGCAAAAAGGGTAATGACTCAAAATCGACAAATCATTATTGTGGACACCAAAACGGTTGTCATCTTCAGTTTAAACTTCATAGTTTGATTGGGGTGGGGGCAATCCAATTTGTCCGGCATACACCCAACCCCTTATTCTAAGTAGCTCTGAAGAAGATTCGCGGGACTTGCCTGAAGTTCCAGTTGTAACTTAAATAAAAGTCATTCTGAAATTAGGTTATTGGCTTGTGCAGCCTAGTAATCAAGTATCATCTATGCTTTCCAACTGGCTTTGATTTTTTTCCGGGACCAAGTAACCATTATTGACTCCCCCCTCACTCTAAGCTAATGCAGAGCAATTTATTAGCCCTAGACTACGTTTTATTTTGCTGAAATATGTTCAGAAACAATTCTGAAAAGCTGATATAAACGATTTCCCACCGACAAGGAATTTTTTTGGAAATAGAATGTATAATAAAATGGAATTGATTTTCAATTTGCCAAACTGTCAGTTGCGAAATACTCTCTTGGCAAAACACACGCTAACGACATGCCTTTGATTTTGAGTAGCCATCGGACTGTGGGGTCTAAGATAGGAACCGATAGTTTTTCTTGATAAATCCGACATCTTAAAATGGGAAGGATGTTTGTCTTCGGGTGTGCTATCGTTATTTTTTTGTGTAAAACAAATCGATTGTAATAGTTGTAAAGAATCTAGTGATATTTCAAAGTGAAGCCCTTTCTGTCCTGATATGAACGCAACTGAAAAATTGTTTAGTCCCAGTGTCGAGAAAACCGGCTGGAAATTTTTCAGTCCGAGTCTAATTTTGAGCAAGTTAAGCGATCAAAAAACGATCGTTATAAAAAAACTATCCTTCAGGTTACGAAAAATTGATCATCATTTTTTCTTAATCTGAAAGATCATTTTTGTAATGATGAACGGTTTTCGATCGCTTAACCCGCTCAAAATTAGACTTAGACTGAAAAATTTCCAGCTGATTTTCTCGACACTAGACTAAACAGGTTTTCATTTTTTTAAAGTCGCGTTCATATCACGACTGAAAGGGGGGGCTTTACCTTGATATATCACTAGCTTTTCTACAATTATTACTAGCTGGTTTTGATTGAAAAAAAAACTAAAGCACACCCGAATAATTGTTTTTGGGAGCGATGGTTAGCGCTTCCTGACAATTTTTTATTTTCGAATTTTTCTAATAATTTTTATTTCTCTTTTGTTGTCGATTGTTTTTGTCTAATTCACTAGCTTTCTACGCCGCGCTTATCTGGTTCTCTCGTTTTACCTCGCACGAAACACGACATTTTTTGTATGAGCATTCTTACCCAGCAGCCAAGCCATATTATGAACTTACTTCTGGAAAAAGTGGAATAGCGTTTTTGTCATTTAGTATTGAGCTGCCAAGAGTGTGGATGGACCCAACATAGTCTTTGTGGCTTATAAAAAGTTGTTTTTCATCAACCGCAATGTGGGATCTTTCATTGATCAATATGCAAGTTGGGATAGCTCTAACGAGGTTTTCGATTGTCAAAAATTGAACTGTGAGCTTGAAAGAGAAAGATGTCGGAGACTGAATCTTTTAACTTTCTTTTCGTGTCTCAGTTTCATTGCATCATTTAACCCGCAATTTTTGATAACCGCTATAGCTCGTTTTTGTCGTATTTGTTTGAGCGTAGTAACTGTCTTTATGGACAATAATGCGAAAAAAATATTCACTATTTTGTTATGTTTTATTCAGGAAATTTGGGTCAGAATCAGGAGCGGATCTAGGATTTTCTCGAGAGGTGGATTTTGAAAAAAATTTCAAAATTTTGTCGATTTTTCTTAGGTCGACCAAATTGATTTTCCGAGCTCTCCCACCAAAGCATTAAAAAACTCTGTTTTGCCAAACTTTCTGCACCGCAGGCAAAATTTCGAAAAAATAGGCCTAAAAGGGAATTTTTAGGCACTTTTTTGGAAAATGTTGACCAAAAAATCGCTTTTTTTCGGCGCTCGCTCCCCCCTCAAATTTAGTATATATTGGCGCCAAAGGCGCTTTTAGAAATTTCTTGGGGTCCATCACCAAATATGGATTTCTCCAAATAGTACAAGGGGGAACCCTTTGGGTCGGGAGGGGGTCGAATCCCTGAGGAGAGGGTGTCCGCCCCCCTAAATCCGCCCCTGGTCAGAATATAAACCGGTGACAGATTGACATCAATGAGCTCAATGAGTCATCTCTAATGCCTGATTTCATCCGAGAATTAAGAAGATTCGACAGAACAAAACAAACATTGCTCGCAGCGTCGCCCAATTACTATTCGCCAATCTCCTCACGCGAGAACGAGTCGCACGAGTCTAACTCAATAGTGTCGTCAAACCGAGGAGGAGAAGCTGTCGGATCCTATGCGAAGCAGAATTTCAGAGCATCACTTGAAGACCCATCGACTAACAGGGATTATAGTAGTGGCACAGATGATATGAAACGAATGATAATAACGAAACGACTTCGTAAAGCAATAGCGGCAATTGGCAAACAGCTTTGCTTAGAATGAGTGACAGTAGTGCAAGAACTAGTGAAGCTGATTTGGAGTGCACAAGTTAAAAGAAAATAAGTGGGCTCACTTCTTTAATGTGATAGGTATGACCAGGGGCGGATTTAGGGGGGGGGGGGGCGGGGGGGGGGGCGGAATCCCCCCCCCCCTCAGGAATTTGACCGTAACAATTACCAAAGGTTCCCCCCTTTGAAAAATTTACTTAATTTTTTTTCAAAGGGCGCCTTTGGTGCCGGTGTCTTTGGCCTTTATATCAAAGAAAATTTTGAGGTGTGAAAATTCAAGGTGTGAAAGTGCGTCTTTTTTGAGGCCTCAAATTAGACTCATTTTTTGACTCGAGGCAGGTACCTGCTAACAGGTACCTGTCAACCTGCCTCATTCGCAGTATATATACCCCGTTCAAAACTACCTAGCTCATTCTAAAATCTTCTTCGCTGGACTTCACACTGCACTCTGGATTGGACCCTGGACTTCAACTTCAACCTTCCAGATGTCAAAGCAGACTGCTCCCAAGGACTCCAAGGCTGGAGTTCAAGCCATCATCAAGGAGCATCACCCTGCTGCCGTGTATGTGCACTGTGCTGCGCATTGCCTTAACCTGACTCTGGTCAATTCATCGAAAATTCTTCCGATAGGCCCTGCTTTTACCCTAGTTTCTCGAATCATCACCTTACTTCGCGGTTCTGCAAAGCGTTCTGATGCTTTCTGTGAGAACATACGGAAGTTGCAGCCCGAAGCTAGCAAAACTGCAATCCCAAAGATGTCTGACACTCGATGGGTTGAACGACACGATGCTGTTCTGACTTTTATCCAGCTGAAGCCTTCCATTGAAGCTACACTAGAAGACATCAGCAATTGGCCTGGGGAAAGCTGTGCTTCTGACTGCTGTGCTTATCTGGCTAGCATGATGCGGTCAGAGTTCTTGATTGCCCTGATGTCTATGAAGCACCTGCTGGGGGCGACTAAAGCTACCAGCATTGCTCTTCAGGGACCTCCGCTAGAATTGCCTCAGTCAATGGATCACATCCGGAACTTGCGTCACCTCTTTCAACAATGGCGCGATGGTGAAGGCAATGGCCGCTACGAAAAAGTCCATTCTGACGCTGCAAAGCTGGGCGATATTCGAATAGAGGGTAGAAGAGGCAGACCTCCTGTAGCATCATCGGCTTATGATCACTTCAGACAGACCGTTTACTTGCCCTTTCTTGATTTTGTCCTGATGGATCTCAAGGAACGCTTCGTTGGAGCAGCTTCTTCTTGTGCCCAAGTGTGCAAGCTGCTACCCCGTTGGATAAGTGAGAAGGATGCACAGGAGGAAGATTTTGATGATCTGGTCCAGTTATACGAAGGAATACTTCCAGATGGTGACTTCCCCAGCGAGTTCGAAGTTTGGAAAAATATGTGGCGCTTCCCCCTGTACACCGATACCCCAGAAACCTTTACAGCTGCACTCAGAGTGTGTCACAAAGCCACAATGCCAGTAATTTTTACTTTGCTCCAGATTGGTGCTTCCCTCCCAGTGACGGTATGCACTGCTGAGCGCTCTTTTTCGAGCATGAAACTACTAAAAAGTTACCTCCGCTCCAACATGAAGGAGGACCGACTCTCAAATTTGGCGCTAATTTACATTCACAAAGATGTAGAAATCAATGTCGAAGAGGTCATCGACAGATTTGCCGCAAAAAATCGAAGACTCAATTTTGTTTAATTTTGTTCATTTTCTTATTGTAAATAAATCATTGTTTTCGTCAAAACTTTTCTCAATCCGCCCCCCCCCCCCTCAAGAAAATCCTAGATCCGCGCCAGGGTATGACATTATTTCGGCGTTGGTGCTGTATTGACAATCATGCTATACCCGTGCCGAATAATTTTATATGATATTTGCTTTTTTAAAAGTAGTTTTGTCCCATGCAATTGCGTCCTCGAAATAATTCAAAGAAAAACTTGAAAAAGCTTTCATATAGGCCACGTTTCTTAATCAATAAAAAAGTTAGATTCTATTTACAGTGAGTTATTATTTGCTAGACTCTAAAAAAATGAAACTAAAACGGAATGTCCAAAATCAAACGAGACAACCAAAAAACAAAAACAAAAAACAAATGTAACCAACGAATCAGTTATGTTTGAAAATGTTTATTTTTTATTGTTATTGTTTTTTGTCATTGTTATTCATTTTTTTTATTATCGATTAATTCTATCATTTTTGTTTACTTTGTAACAAAACATTGACTTTTGTCTAAACTTTTGAATAATTACCACTTCTAACTTTCAGTATTATTTTTACAGAATTTTAAAGTATTAAAATACAGATATATCGATTATACGTCTAATTAATTTTAGTCTAATTGAAAGTTTGTCAAGATTAAAAAAAAATTCTGACGTTTTGCGCCCAAAAACTTTTTAAAGTCAGTTGATTTAATTGATAACTAAATCAAAACCCGACGGTCTCATGACTTATATCAAATGAAAAATTTTACCTGATTTACCGCGATATTTAAGTCGATGCCTTAAAAGTGTCTTTTTTGCAGTAATATCATTTATCTTGATTTATCTTGTGTATTCGCTAAAATAAAGGTATCTTGATATATTCAAGTGTTTTATGTTGTGTTTGTAAACTTCAAGCCTAGAAGAAAAATTTTTTGCATGTCGGTCCAAAATTTTGGTTTGTTTTACGTTGCTCGTTGAAGTTAACTATTCGATTTTTTTTAATTTTCGCAAAAAAAATTGACATGACTCCACAAAAAACGTCAAAAAGCTTGAAAAAAAGATCTACAGTCTGCTTAAAAATTATAGAAGAAGTGCCAGTTTCGAAGAAACTATCAACAAAAAGTTCAAAATAAAAATTTTGGCCTACTTTTTTCCTGTTTATTTTATGTTTTATTTCAGGTTTTTGAAGAAAATTTGATTATAAAAAGGAGCAGAGCTAAAATTCAAAAACTAGCTGCTAGTAGATGTTATAAACTTTTGAAAATAGAAAACAGCAAAATTTTCATGAGCTTTCAACTTTGATTTCAAATTAGCAGGATAAAGAGAAATTTATCTCTTTTTCCTGCTAATTTCATTTACAGTCTTAAGATAGATCAAGAGAGATTTTTTTGCTCGATACTTAGAAAAGTTTTGAAACTGTTCATCGTTTGAAAAAAACAATGAGTCGGATGTTTATTCATGCAGCTTGAATTGCAGAAAAACTTTACTGGCTCTGGAGTTTTCCCGGAATTGGTTTCCCGCAAGAAAAGGTTCGTTAGTCAGTGACACGCTTCAATAGAAGGAATTTTATGGCGTTTTAATGGCTTCTTATTATCAAAACATGCATAACTGCCATAGTTAGAAAAGGCTGTTAATGGTAAATTGTTTTTGCAAGTGTCCGCTCAAAACATCAATACAATCAGATGGTATAAGTTTTCCTTTTAAAAGTGCAAGTAGGGTGAAATTCTTTGCCTCAATTCAAGAAAGTCAGGATTATTTTTATTTGGTAGTTTTTTTTAATTTACCAGTTTTCGACGGAAAATTTTTGTACCAACCTGAAATATTGTTGTCCGGAGATCAAATATGGGAAAAAACTTTTCTTGTACACATTTTTTATTATTTGCATGAGGTTCCAGAATTTATTCCAGATTAAGCAACTTTTGTTGCGGATTCTGCAAATTTCGATGCAGTTTTCTCAAATTTGCCAGTTTTTGGAGCAATTTTGAGCAATAAAGTGTGGAAGCTATTTGTTCGTAGAATCCGATACACCAAAGATGATCAAACAAAAATTTGAAGAATAGAGAATCCGTGACAATTAGGTTTTCAGCCTTTTGTGGTATTCGCTTCCATTTGACAACATACACAGTTGGGCCTCGTATTGAACTCGGAAATTGTGGACATTTACAACGATGTTTCGCTTCGAATTCGGGTGATACGTCACAACTGTATAAAAAAAGTCAGCAACTATATTTTCGATAACCAAATTTGATCTGAACAAAAAAAATTCCAACAAAAAAAAACCTAAAAAAAATAATTTCGTTGTTCTGAACAGATTTACCACAATATAAACAATCTACTGTTGACTCACAGCGACAAAAATTATTTTCGTTTGGTAGGTTTTTTTATTTTAACAGTTTTCGACGGAAATTTTTTTGACCAACTGGAAGCGCAGTTTTTTTTGAGACAAACAAAAAGTCGAAACTCATCTTTTCTTGGGTTTTTTAAGCATTCTGCTCACAAAAAATCGCCACAATTATTGCCTGATTAACAGTCAAACAAAAGATTCCAATTATTTTGTAATAACCTCAAAAAAGACGACAATATTTAAGACTCTTGGTTTTCGAATCCTTAATTGTCAATTTTTTTGTGGTTATAACTAATAAATCAAATGGTTGCCATGATAAATATTTAAGACTCTTGGTTCTCAAAGTCTTAAATATATACCATGACAATTCATTTGATTTCAATCAATCAGGTGCGAGAGAATTTTAGATCAATGATTTCATATTTCGAGAAAAACAAATAGGGGCCCAATAAGACCCCCTTTTTGCTAAAGTTACCTTGTTTTGTCATGAAAATCTTAGATCCCTCCATGCAATTACAAATGTGTAATTTGCTGCCAATAGTGCACAGAATTTCTTAGTAAGGAGAAAGAAAAGAAGAAAGATTTATGAGGAAAATTGGCGACGAGTTGTCAAAACAACGAAAGTAGGAACAGACTTTTGGTGCTCATTAAGCACAGAGACACACATACACCTGTGCAAAACCTATAAAATCTAGAAAATCTAAAACTCGGCCGATGAAATGCTCCGGTTAATTTTATGTCATGTTTTTGGTCCTTGTTTTTTTATTTCAAGTTGACGTTAAAGATCTGGGAAAATTAAACCAATTTTGCAAAAACTTCTGGTTATTTTCTTGAGCTAAAGCCAAGAATTTATTCGGAAATTTATTTTCGGTTTTGTTGGCTGAAAAGGAACATGTTATTCAATTAAACCCAGTTGAGCTACTGGAATGTGACTTCTGCCAGGGTCTGGAATATTTCACAAACAAAAATCGAGCCAGGTATTGGAAACAAAAACAAGAATTATCTTCTTCTGATTAAAGATTGGAACGGGCCAGAAGTTATTTCTGGGTAACTGGAAACAATTATGAGTCCCTACTGTTGTGCACGTTGATTTCTAAATGAGAACAGATATTGTTTTGCAAAGCTTATTGAACATAAAATAAAATCAGAAAATTTGGCGAGCAATCAGAAACTGCTTTGGTGTCCAGAAAATGTATGTTTAACAATCAGGATTATAACTACCTTGATTATTACTTTTCCTTGCTGTTTATTCTTTCTGAAACTTTGAAATTGGAACCTGGAAATCTTTCTTTTTTGGAAAAAAAGAAGCCCTTTATTGTAACATAATCACTTCACTTTATTTTTCAAATTTCTTTTGAAATTTGCGGGTCAACTGCTCTATTATCACGCTCAGGTTCAGAAGTATTTCTAATTTTGACATTTTGCAAAAACTGGAAAACAAAAATTTTTATAAGGAGCCACTGAACTTTTTCGGGAAAAAAGGATGTAACTGTAAAATTTAGGTTAAAACAGATTTTATATAGCCGCAGTTTCGACAAAACTTTAAATTCACATTCTTTTATATGCCTAAAATTGTCTGTTTAACTTTTTTGTTTCTTAATATTACCGATTTTTGTTTGCCTGTGTATTTTGGAGACTGAAAAATGAGCAGTCAATTACGGCCTCTGTCTGCAATTGAAGAGGACGACCCCCACTTGTTCGACAACTTCTTCAAAGTGGCACTACATGGAACCCCATCGCCAACAGAAGAAACAGGGATGTTGTTCACACTTGAATTAATCAAAAATCAGCGCTTTTTCAAGGAAACAAAAACAAGAAATATTTTTCTGTTAGAGGTCCCAAATTGACCAAATTTCCATAGGATCCTAACCTGACCAAAAAACGGTATCTTAGATTTGGAGACCAGTTGTCAAAACAACGAAAGTAGGAACAGACTTTTGGTGCTCATTAAGCACAGAGACACACATACACCTGTGCAAAACCAAGTTAATATCCCCCCCCCCCAAAAAAACGTTTAGATAGGATGTTAAATTGGTTCGAATTCGAGTTTTCAGCCAGGTCCCGTAGAATTTCGCTGCTCTGAAGCCAAAACTCAACTGCTTTAAAAAAAAATCTTCCGGTTTTTCTGTCACATGAACTATGATGCAAAATCGAAGAATTTTGGAAACTTTTTTCTTAAAAATTGAGCAATCTACGCGCAATTTTTTGAAGTTTTGCTTCTTTGTCGCAGTAAATCAACCAAATAGAATGAGTCAAAATCATTTACTCTACGGAAGTTTCCGAGATAAAAAATTGCTTTTTATCAAACAAATAACCTTTACAAAAAATCACTACACTATATGATATATCTTGCCTACAAGCCACATTCTGCTAATTTTAATTGATGTGGCTAATAGCAGAGTTCCATCCCGCACCGAGCGCCCATGGAATCTAATCGATTATAATGGATTCCCGAGACAAAAATAATTGATTATAATCCATTACGGATGTAAAATTCAGACCGCGAAATCGATTATATAGCCATTTTAACCGATTATATTTGAACAAATATAATCCATTATAATCGATTATAATCCATTATTTTTGTCACTGACTTCGATTTTTTTGCCAAGATAATCCATTATAATCGATTTTTTTGAAATGAAAATCCATTATAATCCATTATAATTGATTATAATCCATTTCAGTTTTAAAACTAAATTCGATTATTTTTGCAAAATTTTGCAAATTTTGCGAGAAGTTTGCAGAATTTATGCCCTGTCTTTTACTAAATGCCAAGTCTCAACTTCGTCCCCTCGGCCCCTCAAGCTTTTTACCCCCACCCAGCACATTTGTTGAATTTTTGTTTATACTTCCAAGTATTGTGTAAAAGTTCGTATCAGATTTTATTTTCAGTTTTGCATACCGAAATTGTCAAGTAAAAAGCTCGCTGCTTTTTCAATATTTTTACAGGATCATGTAATGATTCAATGGCTGTTTTGTAGTTCAGACGCATTCTAGTTGAAACCCATAGTAGGTTTTCTAATTTCAATTTCATCTTTCATTTTTTGCATTCTGTCATTTGATAAGTTACATATATTTTTTGGTGATGTCAAAAAATAAGTCTCCCTATTGTTACCAGAAGAAGACACTCTTGCAGAACACCCGTACTCTGTTCCGAACTCATCAGCTGCGAAACAAGAACGCCTGAAATTGGATACAAGCGGACTGGATGATCCGCTCTCGGCAAACAATAATGACTCAGTGGGATCCCAAGACAACAGTCACTTTTCACCTGTTGCCAACACTTTGCCCCACCACCAAGGCATGTCTTAAATTGTTAAACAATTTTAATATTATTTGATTTAAATATTTCTAGTGTTTATTGTATAATCACAACTTCTAGGGATATTATTTTTCTTTTTTTTCTATAAATCTGTAATTTTTTAAGATTTTTTGAAGGAAATAATAAATCTGAAAAATTTTTGATGTCCCTTTTTTGTAGAATCACAAATTGGTGTCAATAAAATTTTTCTTTCTTCCTTTCATATGTAAATTGTATTTTTTTATTGCGACGGTATGAATTTATGAAGATTTCAGGCGTTCTGGATTCCAATTGTGCCCACAGACCCAGATTCAACAGCGACCACAGTGACTTCAACAGTGACGTCATCCTCGCTCATCCAGAAGGGGTGGGGGAGGGAAACCAACGATATGCAAGCCCGTATGAGTCACGTGGATTTGTGGTATATCGATCATAACTTTTAACTTTGCATGCGCTCCAGTAACTACTGGAAAAGATACTTCGAGACCAAGTTAATATCCCCCCCAAAAAAAAACGTTTAAATAGGATGTTAAGTTGGTTCGAATTCGAGTTTTCAGCCAAGCAGAATAGAGCATTTCAAAAGTAGCGTTTAGCAAATTTAATGTATATTGAAAGTTGGGGTGCAGGATCTTATTTCAGTCTATTGCGACGAGAGGATTTAAGCTGATCTAAAGTTTTTAGCGCCAAAAGTAAACCAATTTTTGGTCAGCCGTTTTTTGCCTTTATAATTGCTGCAAATGTTCTGGGAATAGAAGATATTGTACAGATATACGATCGTTGGGTTGGGGGCAGATTTTTAAAAACATTTCAAAACTTTGGCGACCTTTTTTAGATTGACCAAACTGACTTTCCGAGCATTCCCATAACACTATAAAGACCCTATTTTGCAAAATTTTAAGCGCCGAAGGCACAATTTTGAAAAAACAGTCCAAAAATGCCGTTTTTGGGCACATTTTTGAAATTTTGACCAAAAAATTAAGTTTTTTTTTGGCGCGCGCTCCTCTTTACAGTTAGTATATAATGGCGCCCAAGGCGCCTTTAGAAAATTTTCACTATAAGTTGAAAATGGATGGAAAAAAAACAAAACCATAAATTGGAGATGTTTATGCGAGGTGTATGACCATCATTTTTTGTCAACTCGGGCAAATCTCATTTTTCAGGGAGGATCGCACTACGGGACTATGGTGTTGCACCCAACAGTTGGTGGGGGTGGGGGTGGGGGAGGGGGTGGGGGGCATTATGCTGAGATTGGCATGTATGAGTCACTGCCCAGGAGTACAAGAAGTAGGACTCACTACAGACGAGCAGACAGGTCATCACGTGTTCCCCTCACAAAGTTAGAAACACAATTCATTAGTTGTTTAATGTGGCTAAGAACAAATAAACATTTTCGGGTTTGGCACAGTACGCTCCCCTCTTTTAAATGATAGCGTATATTGATGGCAACGACGGCATCAGAAAACTAAAAATTTTTATCGTGGAAAAACTGGATGTGGTCAAGCAATACCAGAGGGAATCTTTTTGGAAGTGAATATATGCGGTTCATGACGGGAGATTTCTCTCAGCTCTAAGAAACCGTATCTTGGTTTTCATGCAAAACCTGTCTATCTTACAGATAGTAAAACTCAAAGTGTTTGAGAGCGTTGTAAAAACGTAAGCGCTTTTTTCGAAAAAAGCAGTGCCGATGATTAATTATTACAGACATTTGGGGCCCTTCAAACATGCGCTTGTTTTGATCATCGTGGTATCTTATAAACCACTTGACAAATTCACGTGTGCTATTTACTTCAATCAAAACGAAAAAAGCCTCTTGTAATAATGAACACATAACCGATCAAAATTAGCCAAAAAATGACACAGAAAACGCACCGTGAATGCTTATGAAAACCACGCAGTTGCCGAACCGACAACTTAGTTGATTGGTTCACCTACTTTGCTGTAAAAGTATTTAAAACCGGCTCAAATTGAGTCAAGCCGCGAAATTGCAATAACAGTGCGGCTTTATTAATCATTGGCGCAAATTAAATTTGGTGCTCTAAATCTCTGGACAGTTTCTTATCACGCTGTTGAAAAATTGAAAAGCTTGATTTATTATTTATTTTTATCTGAGTTTAATTAAGTAATTAGAATTTCTCATTTTGTTTCTATACACTTGGTGTGTTAGAAAAAAATTGGGCTAAATTTTGTGACGCAGATATAGACACAGATCCAGGGACCAATCCAGGGACAAGTCCAGGGATTCGTCGAGGGGGGATTATTCGCATTGTGGAACGGGGGAGGGGGATTATCTGAAGTACTCTCATCCTTACTCCGTCATAGAAACACCAGGTATGGACGCTGAACAGCAACTATCACTGGCAAGTATTTTAGAACCCAAAATTATACCCGGGTTGACAGCCATACACTTAAAATGCAAGTCATAGGGTTCCATACAATTTATCTATGAAAAAATTCTAGTCACACAATTCTCAAAATTATGGGAATGGTACGGCTAGCATTTTTATCAAACTAAAAAGTTTTCGCCATTGATAATAAAAGTCATTAGTTTAAAAACGGCCCTCATAAAAATAGTATATAGTTGAAAAAATTGGATTTTTTTTTAATTTTTATGCCGAAAAAAAGTATTGAAAAATTGCTAGTCATACAATTTTCATACCTATAGTCTTTTTACACTTTTTTAAATCTATGAACTGCATGGGAAACTGTATGAATTTTTCAACCCGGGTATGGGTATGGCTATTGCAATTTTTTGAAAAAACTATGGACTCCTAAAGGTTCTTATACATTTTAAGTTCATAATAATTGGAGGATTTAGAGAAAAAAGGAACAAGTTGAGTTCATAGTAAGTTTCTCTTTTTTCTTTATCATCAGTTTGGTCTTGTTTGCAAAGTTCATGAAAATCGAGTTCAATGTCAAAGTCATCGCTTGTCACGTGACTTTAGGAGCTCCAAGGAGGAACAACAACCGACGTTACCGTGGAAGTAAAGATAAAAACAAATCGAGTGGGAGAGGGAACAGTCGTAGTAGTCATCGGTGGGGGGATCAAAAAGGGGCAACATCAGTTGGGACGCTGAGGAGCAGCAGTAGGCGAGTGGGGGACAGTCGTCCTCATAGTAACTATTACTCCATTGGGGGTGATAGGAGAGACGGTAGTAGAAGTAGGAAGACGTCAGAAGCGACCTATAGAAGGTGATTTTCCTCAATTTACAGAAACTAAGAGTAGTTTTTTGTTCGATTATTTGTTTGATAAAGCAGATTTTGCTTCATTAAACAGTTAGTGTTTGCCTATTTTTGGATTTCTGATTACGCCGCATAATAAATTATCATAACAATGCGATGAATAATTATCGGTAACTTTTCATTTCTTGCAAGAACTTACATTTCTTATTTTTTTGTAGTTTGTAGCCGCCATTGAGGTAATCGAAAAACAGAATTTTTCATTGAAAATAAAAATTCGACCTTTTTGGAGACCTTATGGGTTTTTCGATATTACAGCAGAGGCATGCAAGTGCATTTGAGAACAGTGGATATTCTTCAATTTGTTCAAATTTGCTTTACAGGATACAACAAAACGAGGCTGCTCGTTTTATGGCGTCGCCCCTTGTGTTCCGATTGTCTTTTTTTGTTCATTAAGTCGTGTTTGATGTCTATAAAAAAACTTTTAAAAAATGAGTTTTTAAACATTTCTCGAGTTATTTTAAAAGCTTATCCTAACAAAATTCCTCGCATATTAGAGCAAAGCCTTGAATGTTCGGACTACACTTTTACTGGTTCGAGTAATTTTTATTAATCAAACTAAGATAAATAAAAATTTTAACTGAACCAATGTTATCAAAAGTTCTAAACTTTAAGAAGAACTTATATGACTGATTATGAGTGCGGGATAAACCGCCACGCGTGATCAATTTACACTTTAAAACTATTGAGTAGTGTTCGTAGAAAGTTTGCCTCATGAAGGCTAGTAGTGTCTAGCAAACTCGCTTCGCAATTGACAATTCCCGGGTCAAACACCACAATCCCTAAAGTTGCTTTCTAAACTTGGCCTGATAAGAAAAAATTCTTCAAGCATAACTGCAAGCTCAGTTTTTTGAAACTATTATTTGAGATTAACGCCGACTCTATTCTTCGCTACAACTCCAATTGTTCCGACATTGAATATATAGCGGAATAATTATGCTTGGGGTGGTTTTTTATTCAGTCACCCTTCGAAAATAAGCTTTTTCGAGCAATTTTTTTTCAGCTTTTGAAAGACATTTTTGCCTGGAGTTTAAAAGAGAAAAATAAGTTAGGTCATTTTTTGTCAAGTTGTAAGGTTTCAAAACTGCTAGTTTTGCCAATTAGAGATAACCAATGCTAGATACATTGCGTTACTATAACACACGTAAGCGGCGGATTTGAATCGTTCCAAAATGAATAGAGACAAATCTTTTGGTCGAGTTATTGCAACACAAAATTTTTGTTCCGACTTTCGTAACGAAAGTAACGGAATATTTGTGCTCGGGGTGGGTTTCTTCAGAAAAACTTCAGCTTTTTAGTCAGCCATTTATGACGGTTTTTTCATATCATTCCAAAGCTATTGTTGTCCTGAGCTTAAAATTGAAAAAGTATTTCACCTGTGATCATTTTGGTCAATTTGGGACAATTAACGCGCGATATATTTTGCGCTATTAACGCGTAAGCGTAGATTTATTCCGTTATAGAAATTGTTCCAAATTGGTTGAATCAAGCTTATTTGCCATAATTGATTTGTTACTAGGAGCGAAATTTATCACTTTGTACTTTATATGGCGTGCAATGGAATGATTTTCTCATAAAATCTCATATTTTTTTTAATGTTATTACTGCACCATAGACCTTAAGAGACACTCATAACATTCAGGGCTTCGCCGTGATACGAGCAGTTTTGTTTATCCCTTTGTGTTTTCTATAGCATGTGGGGTATATAGCACCTATTTTTTCAATTTAGTTTACTGTCGAATCTTTTTTTCAACCAAAAAATTTTTACTTGGCCTTTAAGTGCAATCAAAACATTTAGGGCTTTGCCCTGATAAACGGGCAATCTTGTTTTGGAACTAAAATGCAATTTTGAGACCCAATGAAATAAATTACGCCTACAGCATGAGTCACTGCTTTGCAAATGAAAATGACAAAACAACGGCTATTATTGTTTTTCAGTTTTCAACTTTTTGCTCAAATTATAGTGGTTTTCCTTCTCATAAACTAACGTGGGGTTTTTTCGAAAATGGCAAAAGTGCAATCCAGATTTTTCTTGAGGGGGTGGAAGTTCAAAATATTTTGCCCCTCTCCCACTAAAAACTAGCATTTTTGTCTATACGTGGTCGGCTAGAAATAGATATCGTCAAATGGTACCAAAGGGGGATCCTTAGTCTGGTGAGCTTGTTCTCAAAATCACGTAGACATCTACCCTTAAACCGCTTGTTTTTTCTTTCAGTGTGAGTCACTACCGTGCAATTGGGGTTGACCGGAGTGCCGATTCCAGTCATAGTGGACACATCTTGGGGGGCAGAGAACACAGAGACAGAAGACACTCTAAGAGTAGGGGGGATCATTACGGGGTGGGGAGTAGAGAGAGGGAGATTGTGGTGTTGGAGGAGGACTACTCCCTGATGTTGTTGTGGGTGCGGCGGGTGATGGCAGGGGTCTCCTTCTGTCTCTACCTCCTCGTCATCCTTCTCTTCATTCTATTCGCAACTGCAACGCCCCAAATGGGTAAATTGTTATTTCCTCCCCCCCCACCCCCTAAATGGGTAAATCGTTATTGTAACGCCCCAAGTGGATGAATTTACTTTTGTAAAAACTGTTTTTGGTTTTCTTTGTCTATGCTCTCATGAACCCAAATGAATGAAATTTTCCTCTCACTTTTGTCTACTTGTTGTCAAATAGAGGGATTGATATGCTCAAATGTTTGAAAAGTGACTTTGAAGTCGTCTAATTTATTTTAACTTTAGTGAGGTTGAAAAATTGAATCCGAAACTCAACCGATCCGAGCCTTCTAGAATACAAAGGCCACCTTAGATAATTATTACTCTCTGTAAGATCGGTGCTTTAACAAGTTAAATTTATTTAAAAAAAAAAAACAATTTTTGTACTGCTGCGCAGCCGGATATTATTATAAATTAAAAAGGGGTTAGACCGCACGAAACGAACTAGGGTTTTGTATGTCGTATCATATGCCCCAGCTAAAAGCAGATTGCATCTTTTTTTCTTGATACAGAAATAATTATACAATACAGAGCTCTAATTTTCAAACTGAATAAAAAATTTGTTGTCCGGAATTTTAAAAAAACGCGGAATGATTTTAATTGACATTGTGGTATCTTTTCCAGGCATGTTCCACAGCTCGTTATCCGACGCACTGAGCAGCCAAGAAACCCCCCTCCAACCCCCATCTACATACTACCTCCTAATAGCACTTGTATACATCTGGAACCTAGTCTGGATTCTCTGGTCCCAAAGTGTGCTCTTTAGTCAATCTTCAGATGCTACTGAGGGGGCTGTAGATGGCGAAGATGGGGAGGGGGGATGTCTATTCCGACTGTCTCCCCCCGTTTTATCCCTTTCGTTTTACTCTCATTTAATTCTCCTGTTGTGTGGACTGTGTCTATGGCCATTTTTGGCGGACATTAACTACCCTTATGCCTGCCTGTGGCTTGTGATTCTTGTCTTGTTGTGCGCAGTATCTGCATCAGTGTCGCTTTGCTACAACTTCAGGTACAAATATTCCTTCTAATGTTGGAAAAAAAATTTGTCTGGGGAATAAAATGCAAATTTTTGTCAAAAACTGATCGTTGAAAATCTAATATTAAGATTATAATTAGAATAATTTATAAATTTCAGCAATTTGAAGGTTTCAGCTCTGTTTGTAGAAAAAATGTAATAAAGTGAAGTTGTTTGTTTCAACGCGCTATTTCGCCACATTTATATGATTAATTTAGCGCGTTTTAGATAAAAATTATAGTATTAAGTAGAATAAAAATGTAGACCCAGGGGCGGATTTAGGGAGGGGGGACGGGGGCGTACTCTTCCCTTTCCCTCCCCCTCCTCCCCCCCCCCTCAGGGATTCGGTAATTTTTATGAAATCCATTTGGTAATTTTTAAGAAATCCATTTTTGGTGACAGACCCTAAAGTTTTTCTAAAGGCGCCTTCGACGCGCCAATGTATACTAACTTTGATGGGGAGCGCGCGCCAAAAATAAACTCGATTTTTTTTGTTCAAATTTTCCAAAAATGGCCTTTTTAGTGCTTTAGGAGAGCTCCGAAAATCAATTTGGTCGGCCTAAAAATATATTTTTTTTGAAAATCCGGCCCCCCTCGAGAAAATCCTAGATCAGCCCCTGTGTAGACCCATAAAAAGGAAACTTTTGACGCTTCTAAACTTTGTTTCAAGAATCCAACTATCGCAGTTGAAGATTAAGTTTTTCATTTTAGTGGCAAAAGAGACCAATTGCTTTCCGATTTCACTCGGGAGTTCTGGATCCTCAAGATATTCGCCCAGAACGGAGTCCTATCTATTCCCTGTCTCTTACTCTTCGAACTGTGCAATGTCATCACCCATTTAGTCAACCTTGAGGGGGGATCGGAAAATACTGCAATTAACATATTAATGCCTCTAACGTGCGTGATCTTAATCGTCTATTCAGCTGCAGATTTTCTCATATTCGAACATGTTCTGCGTTTTGTGGTTTCGCCCTACTTGGTGTCAATTTGGTTCGCAATCAATCTTCTGGCCAAGAATATTGACAGTAGCAATAGCCAGGATAGTGAGGGGGAATCACAACAAGATGAAGATAGTGGTGGTGATAGTTCTTCGCAGTTATTTGTATTCTGTATTGCTCTATGCATGGTTAGTTTTCGCAACAACTTTGAAATCTAAACTTCGGAAATTTGATCTAATTTCTGTTCAACTTTCATAGATAATCGTCGATTTATCCTTAAAAACCCAGTTTTATTAATATTTACATCATTGATTTGGTGATGATTTTTTTTCAGCGATAAATTGGCAACGTCTCATTGATTAATCAGAACTGGGAAGTTGAATTTTTGTCAGGGATGATTCAGAAAAAAAATTAGCAATGAAACTTTTTTGTCAAACTTTATTTTGAAAAGAGAATATCACAACAAGCATATTGATTCTTTCATATGATGAGCGTTCAGTAATATCATCAACTATTTGAAATCAAATAAGCTACGGTGACAAAAAAAGATGCACAAGTGACTGAAAACCTATAGATTGTGAGGTCGATCCCCGTTAAGACTTGCTACTTTTGCGCTTTTTTGAAAAATCCAAAAGTCAAAGCTAAGTTATTGATAAATAAATGATGGCTAAATGGCCAATTTTCCTTTAACAAAATCATTGATGTACTTCGATGACATTGTGATTTATTGATGATTTTTTTCTACAACCTGACAAATTGTAAGAACGAATACTTGTTTTGATAAAAATCAATTTTCACGATAAGAGACTACGCTCAAAATTTAAAAAAGTTCTGGTTTGATTTCCATATTGAAATCAGCGCTGTAAATTCTTGAAAAGAGTGACCAACATTGATGAGTAAGCGATTTCTGTTAAAGCAATTTTTTAGCCCTAAATTAGCAATTATATAGAGCTAACTTAAAATAGGTTTTAAAGCGACGAACTGGACTAAATCATTGCAGGTTTTAAGTTTGTGGAAAATAACAATCACAAAAAAAAATCGTTCGTGTTTTTTTCCAGAAACCTATAGCAGACTAGGCACATATGTTAACTTTTCTTCACTACCCGTCAAAACTAATTATCTAACAACTTTCAGTTTAGCACTGATTTTCCTTTGAATAACCAATAAGGAAATGCTGAGATATTGCAGATCTAGCAATGCAGCTTTGGGCGAGATAACCTGAACAAGACTGCTCGTGTATCAAGTCAAAACCCTGAAAGTTTTCTTTCGAAAAATGTCGATAAACAATCATTTTTGTGCTGCCAATATCAATTGCAACCGCTAAAATTTGAGCGGCTTTAACTTGGCTTTTGTGAATGCGGATATTTTTTAGACATAAGAAAGTATTGAAACTATCCAAGTACTATTCGAGCAGCGATGCCATCCACATTTTAATCAACTGAAAGCATTTTCGCTTGGCATTTCAACGATATCCGGATTGAAACCCACCCATATTCTGTCAATTTTCTACAATCGTTCTGAAGTAATAAAAAACCTCCCCAGACATATATATTCCTCAATTACTTCGAAAGCCGAAAAAAAGCGTTGAACACTAATTTTCACATGGGTACAGCTGGCAATGATTTAGAGTGGGGCAACGACCCGTGTTGCGGAAACGGTAAAATAGCACTTTTAAAAATGGTGCTCTAATAGCCACAAAACAATCATTCTAGATCTTTATGATCTTGGAAAAACAATCAGAAACGAAAACGAAAAGCTGAGAAACCTGAATAAGTATTAGTCGAGATGTTTTTATTCAGACCAATTTTTCAAAAGTTGACAGCGTATGTTTATCGATCCAGAAAAAATTAGATTGCCAATCAAATATACTTGCAATAGACTAAAATTTGGATGGCCTTGCTGCAAAATTAATACTTAAAAATTTTTTTGCGTGGCAAATTATATGCACTCTTAATCATTACAAATTGAATTGAAGGCAACTATAATTGGCTATATTAATTCTACTCAAATATTAGCATTTGCAGTAGATATTGGAGGTACATAATTTTTTTTTCATCAAAAAAACTTTGAACAAAAACTATTCGAGAACAGTAAAGGGGCAGTCGGAATATTCAGCGCTTTGCCCTGATATAAGAGCAGTCTTGTTCATTTTCTCTTCAAATGACCATATGTATTTGACTTATCTCATAACTTTCAATATTTCTGGTTGTTTTTCATCATCTACTTGCAGACATATTTTGATTTTGATCAAACTAAATAGTCTACATAGTTAATCAAACCATGTACAGTGCTGATTTAAATTAACCGGACCAAAACGCGTTAAACTCGAAATTTAAAACGCGTTTTTCTCAAATTGGGTTGAGTTTAGGTAAAAACTTATTATGACAAAACTTGCTTAAAATTTTAGCAGAATTAATATGGTGTAATTTGTTTTGCAAAATTCGGGCCCAAATTTTTACCCCAAAAATGGGTCATTTTGGCTTTTCTTAGTTAATCAAAAATTACCCCAAAAATAACGAATCGATCACAGACATAATTATATCAAAGTGAGCCCCTTACGTAGCCCAACAAACTTTAAGAAGGGTATATTCTCCAAAACATTTTGTAAACTAATTTATTTTTGTTTGATAGACAAAAAAGGTCTTTTTCACTAAATAAAATAACCACTTTTGATTTAAAAACAATTTTTTTTGGAGAATATACCCTTCTTAAAGTTTGTTGGGCTACGTAAGGGGCTCACTTTGATATAATTATATCTGCGATCGACCTGTTTTTTTTTGGCGTAATTTTTGATTAACTAAGAAAAGCCAAAATGACCCATTTTTGGGGTAAAATTTTGGGCCCGAATTTTGCAAAACAATTTCCACCATATTAATTGTGCTAAAATTTTAAGCAAGTTTTGTCTTCATAAGTTTTCACCTAAACTCAACCCAATTTGAGAAAAACCCGTTTTAAATTTCAAGTTTAACGCGTTTTGTCCGGTTAATTTAAATCAGCACTGTAGTCTAGCTAAAAAAAACTACACATGATTTTGAATAAAATTGCGAACATTTCCTAGTTTTTGTCATGACATCGTTTCCAAGTCGAGCTTTGAAGACGCTTACTTTAGATGTTCTTTAATTCTAACAGATATCTCTGGTATTGGTGCTATTGCGTCTTTTCCACGCTTGCTACCAGTCACTGGCGTCTTCAGAACAGTTCTCAGACGCCAACCATCCCCACCCGGACGACATAGAAATGGCCCTGCAGGGAATAGAAAGGGGGGACCTTAGTCCCCGGAGTCCCCCCAGAATGGAACCCCCCTCGGACGAACATCAAATCACTCCTAGAGATACTCGATACGTGAACGATAGTGTTGACGATGAAAAAGACGACGATGGAAGCAAAGACATAGATTGAAAGTGAAAACCAAGTCGATTATGAGAGCAGAGCTCAGAAAATTAATTATTGAAACAACCACTTTGTAATTTTTGATATGATAATACTCATTAAATTAATTTTAGTTGTAGTTCAATAATCAATCAAATTAGTTTGCTTTTTTGTATGTCACTGTTTTGGAAGAATTTTGGGTTCTCAGTTTTTTCCCCACAAAAAAGTGTCCCCTCGCAAAAAACATTAGGTATTATATTATATTTACACTGACTTGAGAAATCAAAACAAATGTTCCCACAGCAAAGCGAGGAGAAATTTGGCAACCATTTGTTTCTTTTTTTTCAATTTTTTTAGCCAAATCAGTTACTTAAGATATACTTCAGATGAGGTTGAGAGCTATTCAATTTCGAAACCCTTACTTTTTTATTTGATTGATATTTCCAAAATTTCTGAAATTTTTTTAAAGGAAAACAATTGAAAATCTGCTTTTTAGTCAACGTATGAGTGAGAAAAGCCAGCGATTAGGAGGAAAAGCTGTCAATTCAGATTACTAAAACTAAAAATATAGATCTGAAACGCTAAATTTTGAATTTTGTTTTGCTCTTCCCGGGAAAAAAAATTCGTTGCCTACAGGTTTTTTTTGTCAAGGGTGGGAGTAAAGTGATAGGCATGTGTGCCTATTGCGTGCGATAGTTATTTATTCATTTAAGTGTCTAATCAGTAGCGGATTTAAGAGGGTGGCGGACGCAACTCCCCCCCCCCCCCCCCCCCCCGCAGAGATTTGACCCCCTGCCGACCCAAAGGGTCCCCTCTATGTACTGTTTTGAGATATCCATTTTTCGCTGACTGACCCTAAAATTTTTCTAAGGGCGCCTGCGTCTTTATAGTGATTTGGGAGAGCTCAGAAAATTAAATTGGTCGATCTAAAAAAAATCTGCCCCCCATCGAAAAATTCTTAGATCCGCGCCTGTGTCTAATCAAACAAAACTACATAGACTAAAGTTTTTCAAGCATGAAACATTCATTTTCGTATTTCTGCAGTCAATTCAAATTTGCAAATCTAGATGTTCAAAACCTGAAATTGGCAGCCAAGTAATATTTTTGACCACATGGTTACACAACGTAAGCAGACAGGCCAATATGCAGACTAAAACAGTATCAGCCAATCAGAATCGAAGAAAGCAGGGATTAGTGTGATTAGCTACCACGCAAAATTACGTACCGCATCAGATAGTTTGAAAAAACTAGAGCCCGATCATTCTTTTTTCATCGAAATTTCCTTTTAAAACTATGCGGTTTTTTAAATCACTACACTGACAATAACAAGAAAAACAGCAGCAAAACAAGACAAAAATTGAAGCAAGAACCGAAAAACAAACTCAAGTTTTTTTTCGCGTTTGTTTTTGGAAAACTGTGGTTACAGAGTTTCGCAGCTTGCTCAGCAACCCACTATGTTTGGTGCTCTAGCAGGGGCGGATCTAGGATTTTCTCGAGGGGGGGGGGGGGGGGTGACTTTTTTTTGTCGACCATTCTTTTGCGGATTCCGCAACAGGCAAAAATCAGATTTGTCCCGGAATCCGCAAAATTGCTATTTTTTTTTATCTTCTCTGCTATTTTGGATTCCACGAACAAATAGTTAAAACGCCGTTTTGCTCAAAATTGCTCCAAACACAGACAATTTGCGGAATCCGCTACAAAATGTGAGGAATCCAGAACAAGTTTGTGGAATCCATTAACAACTAATACTATTTGTGTTTAGTAAAATTAAGATGTCGCGGAATCCGCAACTGCAAGTGAAATCCGCATATTGTAAGCGGAACCCGCATAAATTTTCGGAATCCTCTTAAATTTCTGGAATCCGCTTACATTTGCGGAATCCGGAACAGCTACCTATACCGGAATCTGCAGGAAAATCAATGTGCCGACAAAATTTACTTTACAGTTGTTTGTAAGCGGAATCCACTGAAATTTTGTAATTGGAACCCACTTACATTTTGGAATATGTTCTAAGACTTGTCTCTGGAATCCGAGAACATACAGGCATAAAATTGTGGAACCATCCAGTGCACAGTTTGGCCTCGTAAAGCCGAGCTCTCCCAGGGCACTACAAAGACCCTGTTTTGGCCAAATTTTCTGCGCCGCAGGCAAATTTTAAAAAAAGCAGGCCAAAAAAGTTGTTTTTAAGACATTTTTTGGAAAACGTTGACCAAAAAATTGCGTTTTTTTTGGCGAGCACTTCCCCCTTATAATTAATTAGTAGATATTGGCACCAAATGCGCCTTTAAAAAAACTTTAGGGTCCGTCACCGAAAAGATATCTCTAAATAGTACAAAATATATTTTGTAAGAAAAAAATGAAAATTTGATTAAAATACTCCATAATTATCTGTTATAACTGTATCAAAAAGCTGTTGTTTCAAATGCTCTATAATTAATAATAATTTGTTGATTCAAATGTTCAAATGTAACACTGATTCAAATGTTTTAAAATCGATTGCAAATATTTATAAAAACGAGAAAACAGTAAAATAATAAATGATCTTGGTGTATTCTTTTCTCAGTTTTAGAAGGAGTGATATCCACATGATAATATAATCGATTATAGTTCCGACCATTGAAAATCGGGAGGAAATTTGTATTCGGGTGTGTCTCAGATTATTTCTTTTTGTTTTCCAAGCAAAATTAGCTACCACGAATAATTATCGGACCGAATTGAATGATATATCATATTAAAGCCCTTTCAGTCGTGATTCGAAAGACATTTAAAGTTTCAAAAGAAAATTCACAATTTCGAGAAAAACTGGCTTGAAAATTTTGATTTTTGGTCTAATTTTGATAAGTAAGGAAGTTAGTATTTGCAATAGCCCCCTTAAGCTTTTTAGCGCAATTTTGGAAATCAAAATTTTTTTCAAATTTTTTTCCAAATGATCTATTTTTACTACGACTCTTGAATATGCCAAAGTTCTAATTATGCGTTCAGATTATTTTATCATGCAGAAAAAACGACATCAACTTTAGAAAACATTTTGTATTTTTTTAAGACTGTGGTCGGAACATTCTGTGCTGCTTGCACAGTAACCGGCTATCCTTGTTATTGTTTGAAGTTGAATGCAGGTGCCTTCGGTCCTTGTAGCCCTCGCAATATGTTCTATAAGTAAACTTATCTGGTCCAAGGCTCTTGATTTCTTTGAAGCGACTGCCTGCCCTTTTTTCGAAGCCGCGCATTTTTATGTCTTTTTTTTGGTGCCAGGAAAAATCCTGGTACCAAAAAAATTACATAAAACTGCGAGTCAGTAGGTTTTGTTTCCGTGATATTCGAAATACGTCAAGAATACCATGTTTTCGAGATACTACGTTTCGCTGTTGCTTTAATGATAATTTTGAAAATGTTGGGGATACACCGTTGATAATAGGGATTAAGCTACTGAGATAAACAAAATTTTCTCGAGGTTTTTGAAGGAGTTTAGTCCAATTGACACAAAAACTCCGGTGGCTGAGATTTTACTGTTCTTAGCACAGCAAAGCTAACTACACTTGCAAGTTTCAGCAAATTTTTTCCTCCGGCGTTTTGTCTGGATTAAGCAAACATAGATGTCAACAGCAAATCGAGGTCTACAATTATCTAAGCGCGCAAAAACAAACTCCATTTTTTTAAACTCAGTAAGTTATTAGTCAATCAATATAACGACATTTGAAAGACAACGATTGCAGACCAAAATCTACCCGAGCTATTACACTTTGGTTGAGCGTTGGGTTTAGATTTTAATCAGGTTTCTGTCGCAACTGTTAGGTTCAACTATAAGCCCCAATTTGAAATGGTAGATCAATTTAACTTTTGGATCGTAGTGTTGTGCTCAGCGGTGCAAAGAGAATTCGGCCAAAGACAATTCAGTCAATTTGAAATTCAGACAATTCAGCCAAAAGTATACAGACAATTCAGCCAGTTTTACAAAACGCTAGATTCGAAAGAAAAAACTCGGAGTTATTTCTCGGCTTAAGGTCGCGCTCGTCGCCGCTTCGCGGCGATAACCGGCTCTAAATTTCGTATAGAGTCCTACCCTCTGTTGGCAAGTTCGCAACACGTTGGCGCGACTGCGGCGGTCACTATTATTTGCTGAATTGTCTCTGGCTGAATTGTCTGCATATTCTTGGCTGTATTTTCTGAATTTCAAATCGGCTGAATTGTCTTTGTCCGAATTGTCTAGAAGCGCTGCTCAGCAGCTCTGAAGTGGAATCGAATTGTTTGGAGGACATAAATTTTTTCTGCTCTAAGATGGGTTCAAATTCTGAAAACTTTTTTTTATCAATATCCAAACAAAACTTAAAAACTACGATAAAGCAAATTAGTAGTAAGAGCAGACTTCGGATAGAACAATTTTCATACAAAACCATCAGTTTGGTCATAACCGCATATCAATCTTAATTTAGCATTTTTTTCGGAATTGAGACACTTAAAATTAAAGGGTGGAGTTTGTAAGCCGGGGTTTGAGGTGATCACGGCTTGTTTTGACAGTTTTTCAAAAATGTAGGATGTTTCGGCCATGCTCGAGGTATCTTTTGCTTTTTTTGCTCGACTGTTGCCTCGATTAAGGAGGATCATATTCGACTACTGAGATGAAATTGATTTTTAGAGTCAAAGTTTAAAACAAGTATCTCGACCCTAGTTGCTAAAATAATTTTTGATATCTAACTGAAATAATTTTTTGACATCTAACTGAAATTTTGTTCATTCATGCTCGCTTATCAGTTATCAGCGATAATTGCTTGATTTTAAAATCCTTTCTTGACTTTAGTTTTTTTGGTATTCCCCAAAAATAATCAGAACTCAAAATATGGTGGTAGGAAAAAACGAGAACATGATTGGCTGAAATTAAATAAAGTATGGTCTAAAACGCGATCAACTCGTAGATGAGGCAATCAATTGCTGTGCTTTGATTTTCTCATGTGTTGGGGTGGTTTTAAAAAATCAATATTTAGAATAGTTTTTTCCTTTGTTCTCCCGAAACTCTATAAAATAAATCTTGACTAACTTTTCTGTTCGGCCAGAGAATTTTGAAAAAAAACAGGCCAAAACTGAAGTTTTTGGGAGTTTTTCAAACAAAAAAGTCGTTATTCGGCGCGCTCACACCGCAAACTACAGCAAATCGTTCCCAAGAATGATACAGCTCGACTTTTATCTGCTCAATTCGTTAACACTTTGAAAAATCCCATCTTGGAGGAAAATAGGCCAGTTAGCTGCATATCGAGTGCTGCCTTCATAGGGTATATTTCGGGGTGTTTTGGCGCCAAAAGCACCTTTTGAAAAATTTATGGTTATATTGGCTAAAAATTGATGTAGTGAAATAGCACTAATCGTGAGACCCTTTGACCTTTGAGTGGTCAAGGGATCGAATCCCTGAGCGGGCATCCAATTCCGACCACCTAATTCCGCTAATGGAAGCAATGTTTCGTTACTTTGCTCGATGATTTTTGGTCAAAGGGTCGGCGCCGTGCAAAAAAAATAAAAACTTGAAGACTAGACTATAAAATTTTTGAATGAACTCATTTGCGTGGTATTAGCAAGGTATTTGATCGGGTAGCAATCGAAATAATGAATTTCAAATTCAATGCTTTCTTTTTGGATGCATATTGATTGATCAGCAATTTAAGGAAAACCTATAAAAAAACACGCAAATTGGAGCCAAAATGTGATCGAAATCACCAAAACGCAATATTGGATTCCCACAAAAAAACGTCGCTTCCAAGTGCTTGCTAAAATTTACCGTTACAGACCGTTTTTATACATCAGAATTTTTTTCGTCTTCAAAATGAGCATACACAAATTGCTTCAACGTTGGAAAAACGCGTTCAGAGTAAATGTATGCGTACGAAACGTTTCTTAAATTATTTGAACTTAATGTGACAAGCACTGGCTTGATTTTTATTTTTTTTTAAATTCCAGAGTGCGAAAATGGTACAAACGAGTGAATTATTAAAATAATTGTCTAATTTAATGCATTTTGTTTATATGTGAATCATGTCTTCGATCGTTGAAAACCATCAAAGTGATTTTGTCTGACAGAACTATATTCTTCAGAACTACACTCTTGACACGGTTGAGAGTACATTAAAACTTTATTGACAAGCTCAATTAGTCGGTTTATTTAATAATATTCTCGAAGCGAACAACTTTACTCGAAATTTTTTCAAAAAAGGTAAGAAACAAGCATTGACTTTTGTCCAGGAAAAATAATAATTTTGTTTTAATACTGTTTCTGAAAAAATTCAGACGCTTATTTATTTTAGGGATACAACTATCATACTTGTAAACTGTTTCTTCCCCTTTGCCTATTGAAATAAACAAGTTAGTGGGCTGAACGAAAAGTTTTTAAAGATTACAAAAGTTTGAATATAATTGAATAGTCAGACCACAAACTTTTGACAGCTTTTCTGGAAACTATAAAGATAAATAACAGTTTTCAAAACCCTCAGTTTTTTTGAATGCTAAAAATTTGTTTTTTTTTGTTGGGAATTTGTTTGCGTTTCGTTGCCTTTACAAGCTTTTTTGAGAAATGACATTAGCAGCCCAGGCTTTGTCTTTATTTTAATGCTCTTTCATTGAAAATTTAACTATTTTTCTAACAGTTATTAGTTTCTCCGCTTTGACTCAAACATATCGCAAGAATTTTCAGTACCACTATCAGGCATGAAGCCGACTGCTCGTGGCTGTTTGAGGTATGAGCTTTTTTTATATCTTTGTATATAATTTTTTATAGGAGAATAAGAGAAAACTCGTCAATTTCATTTTTTATCTCACAGTCGATAAGCCTTGTCTTCTTCGGGAGCTTGATGGTTTTTGAATAGAGCATGTCTCTTGATAGTTCGCAGGCCCCAAAAATTTCTGCTGTTGTATAGAGCAAATGCTGCAGCTTCAAAGAAAAAATTTTTTTTTCTGCTCGATGAAAAATCTCATTAATGATGTGTTTATTACAAAAACATTACCGTTTTCATTGCTTTTTGAAGAAAAAAATCAATTTGAAAACAATTAGAGGACTAAATAGAGCAATCTCAGAAGACAAAATAGTACGTCAGTACAGTCGCGGATAGGTGCTGTTTCTAATAGATTGCAGCTTTTGTTAGAAATTCAGTCGGGTAGAACATAGATGCGTAGTTTTTAATACCACGACTAGCGATACAAAACAAGAAAAATAATTTTAAAAAAATCGAAAATGTCAAAAAAACTAGATCTATCGAAAAAACTAAGGCTAGTTTTGAAGAAACAAACATACTAAGACATTAGAATGTTAAAAAAGCATCGTAAAACAATAAACCAGCGGTCACAAAGCCAAAAATATCTTGTCAGAACCTTTTAAGCCGAAAAAAAGTCAATAAAACTTCAGACTTCAGACTTCAGTCCCCTTCATCCTCAAAACACACAAAAAAATACTTCAAAAAAATTAGCTAAAAAAAGCTCGTCAAAGGAAACAACATGAGGCCATTAACCCGATATAAAGTAGGACGAAAACTAATGAACCCAAAAAAGAAAAAAATCTGAAAAAAATCACAAAAAATTAAAACTTATAAGAAATTATTAGGTCCCCTTTACCCTCAAAACACAGATACGCACACAAAAAAGCCGGAAAAAATAGGCCGAAATTGTTTGCACAGAAAAAGGTTTTAAACGAAAACAAAAACAAAAAAAAAGAAATTCGGCTCTAAAAAACATTTTGCTCTATAAGCCGAATTCCGCCAATTCCGCTAGTCTCTGCCGTTAGCAGAATCCTTTGTGGCTTGGATAGTTCGCTTTTTCTTTGTAGTTCCTTATTCGGTCAAGGAGTTTCGTGCAAGATCTCTAAAGAGATGGATTTTCTTTTATAGAATCATGCAAGACTCTTGTAAAATCTTGCGAGATAAACCTCCTTGAACGACTAAGGATTCGTTGGAGAAAGTAATTTGAACACAATCAGGCCAAAATGCTTTGTGTCAAAAAATTTCAAGTGCACTCCGACCATTTTCCTCCAATTTTGGTGGCCCTCAAAAAAACTCAAACAACGAAAGGGGATTTGCATTGTTTTTGCAGGGATAGTTAAAGGTGTCTTTTGTGTTTTGCACGCATCATTTGTTAACTTCATTACCTTGTCTTTTTGCCTTGTCAAAAAAGATGAAGGTTTTTTGGCGTTGAAACTCAGTAAGTTTGGTATAAAATACATTTAAAATGAAAATTTCAAAATGGCGTTCAAAATCTGTTAATTTGAAATATAAAACTAAAAGGCATCTTTTTTTCCGACGTGCATACTATTAACAAAAACTTTCACGCACCGTTTTGAAATGAAGCATTTCAGGTGAAGGAACTGTCACAGAAGTTTTTTTCTAAAGTACGACAACTTTTTTAAAAATGGTATTGCGAAGCTTCTTTTTTATACCACATAGCTAGCAGCATTGAAATTGGAGCAGAAAGTTCAGAGCACTAGCAAGCAATAAGCTCGTTCAAATCCGATAAAAATTAATCAAACGAAAGGAATCATTTACTTCTAGTTTGAAAAGTATTGATTTAAAAGCGAGCTTCAGTCTCAAAACACACTTATTATTATAAAGTATTGTAGCCATGCAATAGAAGACAATTAGGCACAAAGAACTCTTTAAAAAAATAGATTCTGATCCTCACACAAATCATATTCAAAACTAGCAAACAAAGAAACAGAGAAAGACCGGCTCCCTTTTTATGTATCGAACCTAGGAAAGCTTTTTACTGCTAACTTAAAGGGGCAGTAAAACATTCTTCGTCGCTTCAAAAATTTGCCGACTTTTTTTGGGTCAAACAAAATGATGAACGAGAAATCTCCAAACACCATAAGACCTCCAGCATAGATGTACATATAGATATAAAGACATTTAAGACATCCATTTTCGACTGAAAAAACTCTAGTTTTTTAATGACGACTTTGTCGCCTATATATACTAATTTTGAGGGGAGCCGTCAACATTTTTCAAAATGAGCCGAAAACGCATTTTTGGCCTGTTTTTTTTCGAAAATTTTCTTGCGGCGCAAACTTTCTCTTCAAAATAGGGTGTTTATAGTCTTCTGAGTGGTCAGAAAATCAATTGGTCGATCTACAAAAAGCAACATTCTCAAAAAAAATTTGAAAATCCGTGTCCCCCCGGCTCAAAAAATCCTAGATCCGCCCCTGATTAAGACCATATTGACCCGTACACGGTCCGCGGGCAATTTTGTGAAGAATTAGAGCAAAAGAACCCATGGACATTTCTGGAAGATTTTGATATTCCCTCAAAGTAGTATAAATAAGCGACAAAAACGCCCTTGAACTCTGCCAGCAAGTTTTAGTGTTATAAGATCTACGAACTTTTTCAACGCATATTGCATCCAATTTTGAGCATCGCTCAGGTTAGCGCTCAGTGATAAGCATGTGTGTCTAATAGCATAGAATAATTGTTCTAAGCAGATGTTTCCGCTGAAATGGTCACTCTTGTACTCACTGAAGACGTTGACCAACCATAAAGTTTTTCTATGCTATTAGACACACATGCTTATCACTGAGCGCCAACCTGAGCGATGCTCAAAAATGGATGCAATTTGCGTTGAAAAATTTCGTAGATCTTATGACACTAAAACTTGCTGGTTGTGTTCATTAGCAGTAGTAGTATGAAACCAGGGGCGGATCTAGAGTTTTTTCGAGAGGAAGGGGGCGGATTTTCAAAACAAAATTGAAGTTTTTCTCGACCTTTTTTAGGTTGACCAAATTGATTTATCGAGCTCTCCCAAAGCCAAAACAAAAACAGGCCAAAAAAGGCGTTTTTAGGCACTTTTCGGGAAAACATGACCAAAAATCTGCGTTTTTTAGCGCGCGCTTCCCCCTCAAATTTAGTATATCTTGGCGCCTAAGGCGCTTTTACAAAATTTTTAGGGTCCGTCACCAAATTTAGATATTTCAAAATAGAACAAAGGGGGACCTTTCGGTCGGCAGGGGCTCGAATCCCTGAAAGGAGGGGCGTCCGACCCCCCTCCTCCTCCTAAATCCGCCCCTGTATGAAACCCTATGTTGATTCAACTTTCCATGCAAGTTAAAAATTAAAGCAAAAATGAACTACAAATTTCGTCTGGAAAAAAATTTCTGTACTTTTTTGCTAAGGCACTTTTTCTAACTACCACTTAATATTTCTCCAACAGTGAGTTGCAAAAAGCTTGGAGGCACACTTAACAAAAAATATATCACTTATTCTACAGATTTTTTTTCTATTGTATAAGTTCACGTCGTCTTTCAAATTTGCGTGCTACATTTCTTCAGCTTCAGATTAACAGCTCTTCTTAATCAGCTGTTCAGCTTTTTTCAATCAATTCAGTCTGTCCAATTTGTTTCTAATTATGAAATTATACGTGAAAAATTAGAAAAGAAAATTATTAGTAGTTAAAGTTTAATTGTTGGCAATACCTTTTCGGTCAACGAATCTAAACAAAGATTATTAACCAATAGCTCCTCAATATAACCTCAGATTTTTGTTTTTCACTAATTTCTACTCGTAAAAATTGCGTCCAAAAAAAACAACCTACTTTAAAATGCTATAGTTTTTGACCGATTAAGTTGCTGAAGGTCACCGATATTGCCAAAAATTGACATTAACTATAAATCTGACTTTCAAACTAGAACTAAAAGCTCTTTGAAATTTTGGGTTTGCCTTGATGCCGGCATTTTATGTTTGTTTTTGTTCAGGAAAAATGCATAGCAGATCATTGTTAAATGAAAAAAAAAACAATTGTTGCATTGATCTTTTGGCAATTCAATGAGGTTTTGAAAATTCGATGGCTATTTCAACGCCTGTTCACTGTTTCATGGTCAAATTTTTTCCAGAAATTTGACGCGCTGTCCAATAGATTTGCTAAAAGCTATAGTAAGATTGCTTTTTATAGTTAATGCCAAACTTTTAGCAATAACGGTGACCTTGAGCAGTTAAATCGATCAAAAACGATAGCATTTTAGGTTAATTAGTTTTTTGGAAACCGTTTTTAAGAGTGAATATCAGTAGTAAGATCAAATTGGACGTCAAAATGAGCAGCTTTAGGTGAATTGGCTTGGCTTAACTTCGTTGACCAAAAAAGATTTTGCCAACACTTTGGCATAAGCTATAAAATTAATTCATTCTGACCGAATGATTTGTAACTCCGTATTAGAAAAAAGCAATCCGATGAGTCAGAAAAAAAAGCTTGCAAAATTCAATTTTTGACGAACATTCTACATGAATGCTGCATCTGAAAAACAAATTTTTGGTTATACAACTTTTCTGAAGGAGATTAAAAGGTCTAAAAATTTTTTTTTCGTCTGTCTCGAATTTCATGTAAAAACTTCTTTATTTTAAAGCATTCAAAATGACGTCACCAGCTGGACGCTCTGTCAAATGAGACACCTGGAGTTCGAACATCGAATTCACTTGTCATCAGTGGGCTTCTGCGTGGGCTATGGAAATGTATGGCGCTTCCCCTACAAACTGTTCTCAAATGGGGGAGGGGCATTCCTTATTCCCTACTCAATCATGTTGGTGTTTGTCGGGATTCCTTGTGTTTATATGGAGCAAGCTATGGGACAGTTCAGCAGTCTAGGTTGAAGAATTTTATTTTTTCTTACTTAAACTTGAAGGGGAATACAAATCAAATGCTGCAGCTTCATAGAAAAACTTCTCTTTTTTCTGCTCGATGAAAAATTTCATTAATGATGCGTTTATACAAAACATTGCCGTTTTCATTGCTTTTCGAAGAAAAAAAATCAAATTTAAACTAATTAGAGCAGTGAATAGAGCAATCTCAGAAAACAAAACCGTACGTTAGTACAGTCGCGGATAGGTGCTGTTTCTAATAGATTGCAGCTTTTATTAGAAATTCAGTCGGGTATAACATAGATGCGTATTTTTTAATACCACGACTAGCGATACAAAACAAGAAAAAAAAATTAAAAAAATCGAAAATGTCAAAAAAACTAGATCTATCCAAAAAAACTAAGGCTAATTTTGAGACAAAAACATACTAAGACTTTAGAATGCTGAAAAAGCATCGTAAAATAATCAACCAGTGGTCACAAAGCCAAAAATTTCTTTTCAGAAACTTTTTGAGCCGAAAAAATTCAATAAGGCTTCAGACTTCAGACGTCAGTCCACCTCACCCTCAAAACACACAAACACTTTTAAAAAATTAGCTAAAAAATCTCGTCAAAGGAAACAAGATGAGGCCATTAACCCGATATAAAGAAGGCAAAATCTAATGAACCCAAAAAAGGAAAATAAAAAATCTGAAAAAAAGTCACAAAAAATTAAGACTTATAAGAAACTATTAGGTCCCCCTCACCCTCAAAACACAGATACGCACACAAAAAACGTTTTTGTGCTCGTCGAAACACGCAAGATGAGACCAATAAGCCGATATAAAAAAGGCCGAAGACTCTTGAGTTGAATATAAAGGAAAGATATCAAAAAAGCCGGAAAAAATAGGCCGAAATCGTTTGCACAGAAAAAGGTTTTAAACAAAAACAAAAACAAAAAAAGAAATTCGGCTCTAAAAAACATTTTGCTCTATAAGCCGAATTCTGCCAATTCCGCTAACCTCTGCCGTTAGCAGAATCCTTTGTGGCTTGGATAGTTGGCTTTTTCTTTGTAGTTCACTATTCGGTCTAGGACTCTTGTAAAATCTTGCGAGATAAACCTCCTTGAACGACTAAGGATTCGTTGGAGAAAGTTATTTGAACACAATCACGCCCAAATGCTTTGTGTCAAAAAATTTCAAGTGCACTCCGACCATTTTCCTCCAATTTTGGTGGCCCTCAAAAAAACTCAAACAACGAAAAGGGCTTTGCATTGTTTTTGCAGGGATAGTTACAGGTGTCTTTTGTGTATTGTATGCATCATTTGTTAAATTCATTACCTTGTCATTTCTCCTTGTCAAAAAAGATGAAGGTTTTTTGGCGTTGAAATTCAGTAAATTTGCTTTGAAATTCAATTAAAAATGAAATTTTCTTCTGTTAAATTGAAGTATAAAACTAACAGGCATCTTTCTTGCCGACGTGCATACTATTAACAAAAACTTTCACGCACCGTTTTAATTGAAGGATTTCAGGTGAAAGAACTGGAACTGTCACAGAAGCTTTTTTTAAAGTGCAACTTTTTGAAAAAAGGTATTGCAAAGCTTCTTTTTTATACCACATAGCTAGCAGCATTGAAATTGGAGCAGAACGTTCAGAGCACTAGCAAGCAATAAGCTCGTTCAAATCCGAGAAAAAATAATCAAACGAAAGGAATCATTTACTTCTAGTTTGAAAAGTATTGATTTAAAAGCGAGCTTCAGTCTCAAAACACACTTATTATTATTAAGTATTGTAGCCGTGCAATAGAAGACATTTAAGCACAAAATCTCTTTGTCAAAACTCTATTCTTATCCTCACACAAATCATAATCAAAACTAGCAAATTGATTTATCGAGCTCACCCAAAGCCAAAATTTTGAAACAAAAACAGGCCAAAAAAGGCGTTTTTAGGCACTTTTCGGGAAAACTTGACCAAAAATCTGCGTTTTTTGGCGCGCGCTTCCCCCTCAAATTTAGTATATCTTGGCGCCTAAGGCGCTTTTACAAAATTTTTAGGGTCCGTCACCAAATTTAGATTTTTTAAAATAGAACAAAGGGGGACCCTTTCGGTCGGCAGGGGCTCGAATCTCTGAAAGGAGGGGCGTCCGGACCCCTCCCCCTCCTAAATCCGCCCCTGTATGAAATCCTATGTTGATTCAACTTTCCATGCAAGTTAAAATTTAAAGCAAAATGAACTACAAAATTCGTCTGGAAAAAAATTTCTGTACTTTTTTGTTAAGGCAGTTTTTCTAACTACCACTTAATATTTCTCCAACAGTGAGTTGCAAAAAGCTTGGAGGCACACTTAACAAAAAATATATCACTTGTTCTACAGATTTTTTTTATTGTTTAAGTTCACGTCGTCTTTCAAATTTGCGTGCTACATTTCTTCAGCTTCAGATTAACAGCTCTTCTTAATCAGCTGTTCAGCTTTTTTCAATCAATTCAGTCTGTCCAATTTGTTTCTAATTATGAAATTATACGTGAAAAATTAGGAAAGAAAATTATTAGTAGTTAAAGCTTAAATGTTGGCAATACCTTTTCGGTCAACGAATCTAAACAAAGATTATTCACCAATAGCTCCTCAATATAATCTCAAATTTTTGTTTTTCACTAATTTCTACTCGTAAAAACTGCGTCCAAAAAACAATCTACTTTAAAATACTTTAGTTTTTGACCGATTAAGTTGCTGAAGGTCACCGATATTGCCAAAAATTTGACATTAACTATAAATCTGACTTTCAAACTAGAACTAAAAGCTCTTTGAAATTTGGGGTTGCCTTGATGCCGGCGTTTTATGTTTGTTTTTGTTCTGGAAAAATGCATAGCAGATCATTGTTAAATGCAAAAAAAACAATTGTTGAACTTAGGCAAAATGGACCTGTTCGATAAAGCAGAATGCTGCTGCATTGATCTTTTGGCAATTCAATGAGGTTTTGAAAATTCGATGGCTATTTCAACGCCTATTCACTGTTTCATGGTCAAATTTTTTTCCGGAAATTTGACGCGCTGTCCAATAGATTTGCTAAAAGCTATAGTAAGATTGCTTTTTATAGTTAATGTCAAACTTTTTGCAATAACGGTGACCTTGAGCAGTTAAATCGATCAAAAACAATAGCATTTTAGGTTAATTAGTTTTTTGGAAACCGTTTTTAAGAGTGAATATCAGTAGTAAGATCAAATTGGACGTCAAAATGAGCAGTTTTAGGTGAATTGGCTTGGCTTGACTTCGTTGACCAAAAAAGATATTGCCAACAATTTGGCATAAGCTATAAAATTAATTCATTCTGACCGAATGATTTGTAACTCCGTATTAGAAAAAAGCAATCCGATGAGTCAGAAAAAAAAATTTGCAAAATTCATTTTTTGACGAACATGCTGCATGAATGCTGCATCTGAAAAACAAACTTTTGGGTGTACAACTTTTCTGAAGGAGATTAAAAGGTCTAAATTGTTTTTTTTCGTCTGTCTCCAATTTCATGTAAAAACTTCTTCATTTTAAAGCATTCAAAATGACGTCACCAGCTGGACGCTCTGTCAAACGAGACACGTGGAGTTCGAACATCGAGTTCATCCTGTCAGCAGTAGGCTTCTGCGTGGGCTATGGAAATGTATGGCGCTTCCCCTACAAACTTTTCTCAAATGGGGGCGGGGCTTTTCTTATTCCCTACTCAATCATGTTGGTGTTTGTCGGGATTCCTTGTGTTTATATGGAGCAAGCTATGGGACAGTTCAGCAGTCTAGGTTGGAGAACTTTTATTTTTTCTTACTTTAACTTGAAACTTGAGCACAATTCAACTATGTAATTTTCAAGCTTTTCGAGCATATATTAAAGCTTTTTTAAAATACAAAATTTGAAATTTCGTTTAATAACGATGAGACCCAGAACTTTCTAAAAGGTAGAAATTCTAGGACTAAGTTAACACTATCTCCCTTATTTAATTGGGGGGATCTTAACGGGTATTTAAAATTGGAATTTTCAACCGAACAGAATTGATTATTTTGTATTCAGCGCGAAACAATTTTAACCCGAAGCAAATAGATAGTGGAGGATCTGGTAGAAGTATGATAGTTGGGTCTTGTGTAAATGTAAATATGAAAGGTGGTGGGGGGGGGGGGGGGGTCTCATCATTTTCATAAAAATCTCAAAACCGCAAAAAAAAATAAATAACTGCAGAAATTGTTCCCAAAATTTAAGGCGCTAATGAGAATTCAAGACAAGGGTAAATCTAGAATTTTCCGAAGTAAAAGCGGTTTTTCAAAACTGTTCGAAATTTTATATTTTTTCTTAGGTCGACCAAATAGATATACTTTTCACTTCAATGTTAGTGTATATTGGCACTTTCAGCAAAAAGTTTGAATGTCGGTCAGCCAAAAATGGAGGCTTAAAATAAAACCAAAGGGGAACCAAAGGTCAGTGGTCGAAATCATGAGGGGGGTCCTCACGTGTTGGCCTATCCACAGTGGATACATGGTCTCGTTACGTTGCAAAAAGTAGACACGGCGTAAACCAATCAGAAGCGAGAAAAGAAAATAAATCGTATTTTGTTTTCTTATCTAGATTTTGATTGGCTTACTATGGCTTTCTTGCTATCCTTTCATGGGATTATTTAAAAGTTTGACCAGGGGCGGATCTCGGATTTTCTCGACTTTTTTCTGACTTTCTGAGCTCTCTCAAACCACTACAAAGGCTACAAAGGCTATATTTTAATACAAATAGTCAAACTTTTGAGAAAAACAGGCCAAAAAAGCGTTTATAGGCATTTTTTTTAAAAAACTTTGACCAAAAAGTCGCGTTGTTTCCCCCCTCAAAATCAGTATACATTAGCGCCAAAGGCGCCTTTAGAAAAAATTTAAACCAGTCAGCCAAAAATGGATGTCTCAAAACACTACAAAGGGGGACTATTCTTCGAGAGAGAAGAAAAGCATCCGCCCACCCCTAAATCCGCCCCTGAATTCGACTAACGTTTTTTGATTATTTGATGTACTCAGGATAAATGAATAAACAAATAAATAAATGAACAAATTACATAAATAATTTCAGGTTGTCTCTCCCTGTGGAAGCTGTGTCCCCTTTTTAAGGGAGTCGGCTACTCGGCCTTCGTGGTCAACATCTTCGGCTACATCTACTACAACATCATACTCGGGTGGGTTGTCTACTTTCTACTCGTATCAGTCACAACTGCATCGCTGCCGTGGACTACCTGTGACAATCCTTGGAACTCTCAGTTCTGCAGTGAGCCGGTTAATGAGTGCAGATTGCGGGTTCGTGAGCAGTTTTTTTTATACCTTTCATAATTAATGCTAAATTAATGACAAATATCTTTTTCGGTTAACAAGACTGAACAAAATAAATTAACCTCAAGTTTTTCATTTTGACATTGGGAAATAACTGCTCACTCATTTCAGCATTTAAAACTGTGTTAAAGTTTGAATTAATCTAAAATTTTGACGCTGAATGGTTTTTTTGTAATTTTAGCAGTAGCTGTTTGAAGGTTAAAACAGTAGCGCCAATGCTGTTTTAGTTGCCTATTTTTAAAGTCATGTTTAACCTGTTAGCCGCTCCCTTCTAGAACCAATCCCCTCGCTTCAATACTCACCTCAAATTAATTAGTTTTAAGATTATCTTACATATGATACTGGAGCTAAATGCGTGATTTTACGTTGAAAAGGATAGATAAAAATCAAACTGTTATTTTGTTGTCACAATGTGGAAAAGAGCTTCTTTTTGTATTTTTTGTTTTTTGTCTTTCCTTAGAACGGACAAATGCACGGATTTGTATGCTTGACCGGCAACGACACCTATTCACACCAGAACAAAATTCAGTCGCCAGATGAAGTGTGGAACTCGCCGGCCGAGGAGTTCTGGAACAACCAAGTCCTCCAGAAGAGTGAGAGCATCGAAGACCAAGGGGGTGTGATGATTCCCCAGTTTGCGGCATTTGTGCTCTCTCAAGCTATAGTTTACCTTATGGTCATGAAAGGTAAAAAACGCAAAAAAAAACAGAAAATGCAAATTTATGGCCATTTTTTGCTGTTTTTGGGCGCAAAATTGAATATTCAGGCGCTTGAAAGGAAAGATATTTGTAGGATATTTTACCGACAAATATACCAAAAAAACTTTACGCCTTTATCAGAAATTATAGCCAGAAATCTTCTCCGTTTAGGAACGAAATCAATTGGCAAAGTGATTTACGTTACTGTACTAGCACCTTACATTATTCTGATGATTCTCTTGATCCGAGGACTCACATTACCCGGAATGAGTGACGGAATCGCTTTTTATCTTCGACCAGACTTCAAGAAACTCAAAGAGGTTAAGTCAAATTCTGTTTGGCAATATCATAAAATGATATCTTATATTTTCACTCCACTCAAAATTAACTCAAAGGTCATTTTCAAAGAAAGCAAACACAAAACCGCGTGTTTTTATATCCAAAAAAATGGTTTCATAATAACAATAATAGTAGTTTCGTGCTTTTTATTGCACTGGACCCACTTAGGAGCCAATATTTTGTCAAATCATATTTGTTCCAAATTTTTGGTCAAGTTGTAGACAGCGCGATTTTCAATCGCAAGCTTGGCATTACCTTGAGTTTGAAAACCGAAGTATAACGAGGGCTTCAAATTCTAAGTTTATATCGGGGTCGTTTTTTAAAATTTCAGATCTCCGTTTGGACTGGAGCGGCAAATCAGGTGATCAGTTCTCTGGCACTGAGCAATGGTCTCAACCAGACACTGGCCAGTTTGAAGAAGTTTGGGGAGAACTGTGAAAAGGATTCTCTCATCGTAGCTCTTGTGAGTTTTTTTGTAAATTTACCACATATTTTCTTCAACATGCTTTTGGAAAGTTACTTTGATTCGGCTCCAATATTTGTGTAAACAACCATTAAATGACTCAATTCTGCTCAAGCATAGATGGATTTGATTTTCAGATTCCTACATGCGTGACTTTAGGTTGGGGAGGGTTGCTTAAAACTAGGATTGTGATAAACACTGAATCGTCTCTTAAGCCCGAAAAAATCGAAACAAGCCCATGTAGTTTATGAATTCTGCGTTTTCAAACTCTTAATTAACTTCGCGAGCAACTTTAATCTTTTTTAAAAGTTGTAAGCTTTTCCACATTTACAATGTGTCAATGTACCAGCTCCTCCCCCCCCCCCTTCATTTCTGTTTGCTGAAAATTTCCAGATTTTTCTACACATGGTCTTTCTGCCCACGCCGCTGTGAGGTATTCCAAATGCAGAAGTTAAAGGTCAAGGTCAAGGTCAGGGTCAAGGTCAAGATACAGTTCAAGTTCAAGGTAAATTTCACGGTGAGATTATTAAGTTCAAATTATGATTTGAAGGTGAACTCTTTGACGAGTGTGTTCGCTGGATTTGCAGTCTTCTCCATTCTGGGTTTCCTGGCGCACCAGATGGACACTACAGTCCCGAAAGCAGTGGAGAGTGGACTGGGACTGGCCTTCATCGCATACCCGAATGCAGTGGCTGAAATGCCAGGTTAGCACACACAACACACTGAAAACCTACTGCTAACTTAATAATAGCTTAGTCTGTTGTAATTATACATTAGCACTTACCCTGTTCGAATCATCATTGGAAAGACACGGTCGAAGGATGTCCGGTTTTCGTCACAAACAAAGACGACCGAACGAAGGCTATATTCGAACAAAGTCGAATCATGGGTCGAATCATGAATCGAAAATAGAAGCACTTAGCATAGTGGTAAGGCGTTGTATTCGAGATCGTCAGATCGCGTATTCGATCCCGTGCCATGACAATGATAGTGTGTGGCGACGAGCTCTCACTTGACTTGCAGCTTCAGATTTATCACATCCTGACCAATTTTGGCCTCATTAATGGTACCACGTGAAAGTTCTAAGCGAAAAAAAAACGAACGACCTTGAGTCGCCAATAAAGGTATTCCCTCAACAAAATAACTGTTTGGAATGTGGGGGAAAAAGAGAAACGGACTATATGCTTAGACAGGCTGCAAAACGTTTCCTAGATCTTCTACGAAACCCAGGAGCGACATTTACAATTCTTTAATTATTTCAAGTTACTGCTGCGATTTCAGTGTAAAATGTGTGTACAGTTTCTGCTCCGATTTCTGTGTATTAGTTTTCGAGACCAGTAATAAAAACTCTTTAAAAAAACGGTAAAAACTTCAAAAAATGGGGTTTTCCGATGTTCATATCGGCTTTTCTACAAAACAAATAAGGCGAAACAGATTACGCAGAAAAATCTAATCACGATGTTAAAGACAACAAAAAGCTAGTAATTTGAAAAACATTTTTTTCTCAATTAAGGGCAAGGCAAGTTAAACGCAATGAAGATTCAATTATACGAGTCAGATAAAAACAGTTGAATAAAATTCAATTCAGCAAAACCAAAACAGATTTAACAAGAGAACCCTTTTTCTAAAATAAGATAACATCGCTAAATAATTACAAGGGTTCAGCCGTAAAATTTACCTCAATGAGAAATGGAATGAAGATAGCATGTAAAACAAAAAATCGGTTATAGAAGGCGGAGCAAATAAAATCAAATAAAAAAATTATGAATAAATTATTTTAAAAGTTCAGTGAATACTTCAAATTTGAATGATTTTGTCGTAAGAAAAAGTATAAGCTTGAATGATTTTATTGTAAAAAAGGGTATAAATTTGAATGATTTTGCAAAAAAGGTCCGCGGGTTGGGTTCACATTGCAAATAAGCGATAAAAAAGTGAACAAACAGCGATCTTCATCGACGAGTTAGTGATATTTCATTGCCAAAAGCAATTTTTATTCATGGATTATCGTTGATTTTCCTAATTCGACCCTTGTTAAGCCAAAATCACAACTAGACTTCATTAAAACATTATAGCTATATAAATTCTAACTGAAAGTTGCTCTGTAGTTTATAAACTTACCAACTGATTTTTAATAATTTTATAATTCTTTTGACCTTTTTCGCTTAAACGGGTCCTGTATATGTTTTATCGGCTTTGTCAAATTAATTGCTCGATTTCAAGGGCGAATTGTTTTAAATGCTTTCATGAGGGATGGGTTGTAAAAATTTAACTTAAATTTATGAAATAGCTTTTTTAGCAACCCAAGGTCATTTTTTGCCTCTAGAACTTTAACTTGCCCCACTTTTCAGCCAAAACTGGTCAGGCCGTGGTAAATTTGAAGCTAGAGGTGAATTGAAAGCTCGTTCTTGCACACTATCATTGCTATAGCAGGGGATCGAAAACTAAATCGGACGCTTCTAAAGTGAAGTTGAGACGAATCGCTTCTCGGATAATGACCGATGCTTATCTTACTGTAACACCTGGTATCTCTTACACAAAGTCCCTAAATAAATTTTGGGTTAAATATTACAGGGACGAAAATTTTTTGATTGAGTTTTAAACCAGCTTAAGATAATTTTCGGAAAAAAACTTAAGAAAAAAAACTTAATATTCGGAAAAAAAACTTTCGGAAAAAAACTTTCTCCATATGTGAAATTGTATAATAAGCATTTTTGTTGGATGGACGACAACCCGGGTTATTTCAGGAAAAAAAAATATGTACTATCTGATTGGGCTCTTTTCCAGTCCCCCCTCTTTCAAAATACCGAGTTTTATGTTGGTTTTACGTGTTATTATGGCTAAATGCGTGATGTTACGCTGTAAAGTATGACGAACAAATCTGTTCACAGTTGTCGATTTGTTCACCACGCCAAATTTCAATGCATTACGACAACGTTAAATAAGCTTTTCAAAATTGAATTTGAAAGAGGGGGGAACTGGAAAAGAGCCTCTAATTGGTTATCTTAATGTATCTTTCAGCCTCTCCTGTTTGGGCGGTGTTGTTTTTCCTGATGATGGCCAATGTGGGAGTGGACAGTGTCTTTTCTGGGGTGGAAGTGAAGAGTGTCAACATCATAGACGAGTTCGGAGTCTCTCTCGCTCCCTACAAGAAGTTCATCTCATTTGCAATTGTAGTCGCATCCTGTTTGATATCAATGCCACTTGTCACACCTCAAGGTTAGACAAAGACAGATGGCCAAGTTGGTAAGGCGAACGGCTCGCAGAGGGAGGATCGTGGGTTCTAATCTCACTGCCGCGCCGAAACCATTATGAAGAATAAAGAATGAAACGTAACTCATTCTATATCCGAGTTTGGGTAAATCCGCCAATTACAGCACGAATATCAATTATACTGAACGGATGTTTTAAGAAGCAGAAAGTTTCATGCTTTGGAAATTAAGCCGACAAAATTGATTGCCCGACAAATAAACTATAAGCATAATAGACCGACAATTCATGCTTCATGCTTTGAAAATTAAGCCGACAAAATCAATTGTCCGACAAATATGGCATAAGCATAATAGAACGTCAATTCAAAGTTTCCCAGCGTTTTTGTTCAATTTCATGCATATTGAAAACATTCAGAATTCAAACTCTAGGCCCAAGAAACCAAGAGCACTGAATAGCTAATGTGCCTGAAAATTGTTAAGATTCCACAAAAAAGCATGTTCAATGTTTTAAAAATTTGTGAGAAAAGTATCTTACGGGAAAAGTTCTTGTTCCCAATTAAAACACATGCCATTCTCTCGCAAGTGAAATCAAATTCGGGCATTTTTAAGTATTCTTGTTGCTCCATAGGCACCTACTGGTTCTTCCTGCTGGACTGGTACGTCACTCTCTACCCATTCTTCCTCATCCAGGCACTGCAGATGATAGTAGTCGTCTATGTCTACGGACTCAGACGGTTCTCCATTGACATCGAGGTTTAACTTACACATTTTTGTTTCAATTTGAGCGATACCAAAATTGGGGAGAGGTGGTGAACTGGTTACGTCTTCATAGCCTCTAAATCGAAAGGTCAGAGGTTCGAGGCCCACCATGATCCGTGTTCGTTGCTTGAAAGTGAGGCAACATTACCCAGCCCAGAAACATAACTAGAAGGCATCTAATTTTTAAACCAAGGGCACCAGATGTACTCCGTAGTCAGTTGAGCAGCTCCAACTTTTTTAAATCCTTCGTGGGAAAAGTGTCTGGAATGTTCAAACTATCGTAAGCAGACGTTTGGCTCTAGTTAACCGATTTTGAATTTTTAAGGTCATCCATTTCTCATTTTTAAACTAGTTAGTCTTGCTGAGTTGAAAATTTAACACAGAGGCGAAGCTGCGCTTCGCAAACACTTGCGAGAACACGACCAAAAATCAGCTCTATCAAGTGAAATAAGAAAAAGTAGAAATAGGCCTCGAACTAGTAAAACTCGGCTACGTGTCGGATTCCAATCTGCGACCTACTGCAATAAGAGATTTTGAGTCTCACGCATTGTTCACTCAGCCACGCAAGCTTAACAAAGACATCAATGGTCACGAATAAAGCAGCTACCTATGCTAATAAATAGCCAATGCAATTCAGCAAAAGTGGTACCAAATACAAAAAGACTCAATTTTGCAAATAAAATTTGTAATATAACAAACTGAAGGCATCCACACTACTTTTACAAGTAAAAAATTGCAAAGCATAAAGCCACATTATGTATAAACAATTGCGAGGTACATCGAATTGGAAAATTTCTGAAATCGAGTTTTCATTATTGTTATGTTGCTTGAAACAAATCACCTTTTCGGTTCAATTGATGAAATAAAAATATATCAACTGTGCCAACTTATTGCTATTCCAATGTCAAAGCATATGCTATGATAAAACTGTGAAGGTGCCCCAAAAGTGGCAGCAAAATTTTCAACTTAGATTTGGAAAAATAAAAGGTTCGTTCTAATACACTCGCTTCGCAAAAGTAAATAGTAATTGCTCTCAAAGATTAAATATGATCGTGAAAAAAATCACTTGGGGTGAGAAAAAACTCAGTTTGGCCTCTTAATGAATGATATTCTTTCAGTTCAATAAAATCTGGTTTATATTCTAAAAAATGATACTCAATTTTTTTATTTTCTTTGATCGCTTCGACAAAGTTTTAACACTTAGAGACTTGTCTCTGGAATCCAGAAACACACAGACACAAAATTGTGCGCCTATACAATGCACAGTTTGGCCTCGTAATGAATGATCTTTCAGTTCAAAAAAGTCTGGTTTACATTCTAAAAACTGATATTCAATTCAGAGAAAAAAACTGATTTATGTTCTAAAAATTATATTCTTTCAGTTCAGAAAAAAAGCAGATTTATGTTCCAAAACTGATATTCGTTCAGTTCAGAAAAACAGATATATGTTCCAAAAATGATAATCTTTCAGCTCAGAAAAAAAAACAGATTTGTTCCAAAAACTACATTCTTTCAATTCAGAAAAAAAAAAGCAGATTTATGTTCCAAAAATGATATTCTTTCAGATCAGAAAAAAACTGATTTGCTCTAAAAATATGATATTCTTTCACTTCAAAAAAAAACATTTATGTTGCAGACGATGACTGGTCGTGCAGTGAGTGTGTACTGGAAGTTCTGCTGGTGCTTCTCAGCCCCTCTCGTCCTCCTCACTCTCCTAGTCTCTGACGTCATCAACTACAGTGACGTCACTCTTGGGACATACAAGTTCCCCTCTTGGTGCAAAGTATTCGGGGCAGCTATCATGGCCACAGGTCAGTCATGCATTTATGATTAAACTTTTTTTAAAAGTGCATTTTCATGAAGTGAAAAATTTGTCTATCTAAGTTGCCCAATTAAAATTAGACGGGCTTAAAACAAAATTAATTCTAAAAGTCCTATCACCAGAAAAGTCAAAAAGATTACATTTGGCTTCTTCGTTGCAAAAAGTCAGAGCCTCTTTAACCCATTTCAATGAAAAATAATATCTAATGACAATAACTTCTGTTGAAAAAAAGTAAACTGAACTTGAGCAACCAAAAAAAAACAAGATGGCTGAAAGCAAAAAAAAGATATTTTGAATTCGTTAAACATTTTTACAGCCATAGATTTATTTTTAGAGCTATTGCCAATTCCACTCTATGCGGTGTTTAAAATCTGCGCCACGAAAGCGCCAACTTTGAAAGAGAGAATCACGCGGAACCTCAGACCAGCTGCCGACTGGGGTCCAGCTGATGACTCAGACAGGAGACGCAACAACGAGCTGATCAGAGAAAAACTAGGAGAACAATTCATTACAGACGGCCAAAAATCGAGTTTAAAACTGTCTTTGTAAAACATTTTAAAACGCAATATATGATTTTATTATGTTTGTTGTTCATATAAAGAAAAGCAATAAAATATCCCTATATTAAAAAATATTAAAATTTAAAGAATAGCCGGTTTTTAAGCAAGTAGCACAGAATGTTCATACATCCATAAAAAAAACTACAAAAATGTGTTCTGATTTTATTCAAATAAGTGTATATTTTGTGTGTGTAGCGATAATAGAATTATATGAAATCGTAAAAAATAAACAAAATAGGCAAAATCGACAAAAGTGGTCTTAATAATGAATGGCAACCAAAATTACAAAAAAAAATAATTTTTTGAAGTTAATGCGCAATAATTTTTAATTTTCTCTAGAAAACCTTTATTTCCAAGAAAGAGCTAAGTGAAACTTCAAAAACGACTTTTCTATTATTTAAAATCAAACTTTTAAGCCAAAAAAGCCGAAACTAAGGTTAACTTTTTATATAACAAACTTTACATGAACGCTTAGCTTAACTCGCTCAAAATTAAACTAAAACTTGAAAATTGTAAATAAGTTTTTCTCGACAACGGGACAAAATTATTTACTGCCGGTCAAATCACGACTGAAAGGGCTTTAAATTGAATTGATATATTCCATTCCGAAATCGATTCATTCTGTTAACTATTTGCGTTTAAAAAAAAGAACAAAAAAAATTGCAAGAAAAAAAAACAAAAAATCCGAATACCAAATTCGTCCTTATTTTCAATAGTCGGAAAAATAATGTGGTCAAATAACATATCACATTTTTGCTTTAAACTTTGTTTGAGCCGCAAAATTATCCTGAAAAAATCAACACAAAAACGCGATGAAAAGATTGGCCGTTGACTGACAAGTGCATTTCGATGAATGGTTTGCAGCAAAGAAACAAAAACATTATTATTTCAGGTAATAGATTGTGGCATTGTGGCACTCCGGTAGTGATGGTGCCCAACAATCAAATGGTTGTCGGTTCAAACTGCACGTGCTCCGCAGTTTGCAAGGTGATATCTTGTAAGCATATCATAGCTTACTATTGGCGCTGGTTATATTCGCTCTCTGTCAAACCAATTAATTACACCTTGAATTAGGCCTATCAAGCTGGTTGACAAAAAAAATACCATTCAAAAATGAAAATTCTTACTGAAAACCCTGAACTTGTTGTTTCAGCCGTCTGCAGAAATGATTGTGTTTTGTAGACCGAAAAGGATGTTAAGATTATACCATTCAGCTAGCTCAGGTCAAAGTTAAAACCATACAAAACGTCCACTTTATGGAAATATTTTTCTAAACTAGAAAACAATTATGAGAGTTCAGAACCCTGGTTTTTTCTATGAATCATCTACTGGCGAAATCAATTCTTACCAAACGCAGTTTTCAAAGGAATATGATATTTCTCAATAGTTTTCGAACCTATTCAAAAGTTATTAAAAAAATTGCAAATTGATTCAACGGGAGCATTACCAGCGTTCCAAAAATGCATTAGGGAGACTTGGTGTTCGTGTCTATAAAAGTGAAAACTAACAAATTATAATCAATTTAAAATTGATTATAATGCAAACTTTCAACACAGACACAAAGCGGAGCTTCGCTCTACTTGCGATAAAACAAAAAATGGCACGGCAGCTATCCCATAAAGGGACGCAATCTGAATCGAAAAAAAACATATATTTGAAAAAAAAGTTTGAAAAATTAATTTTTTAATGTTTGTCTGGAATGCGTGAAATTTGAAGGAAAAAAAAACAACTGCCGTGTTAGATAAGCATTAAGAACCAAATTCAATAAGCGGATACTGAGCAGACAAAACTTGGGTTGACGACTGTTGAGCCGAAACAAAATCAAAACAAATGAAATTAGGCGCTCCATGCAACAAATCAACAGGCAACTAAACAGATATGCATCAGCTGAAACTATTTAAGCCAAAAAAACTACTTAAAATTAAAACAAAAACCTAACACAAAAAGCAGAAAAGAGAACTAAAACCAAGAGTTGACTTGAAACCAAGAATAACGTTTTGAAGGGAACGGCCATTTAAAAGGTCGACATGCTCAGAAAAAATCTGTTGACAGGCAGGCTTTCTCGTTACTACTCAGCAACTTTTTGATGTGGTTGTGGCTAACAGACGAGCTAACATATTCAACTGATTTTGTTAAACTAGTTGTTAACTAGAAAAAACTCTATATTCCAGTTTTACAACGCTTGCAAATCGTAAGCGTAACAAAGCAATAATTTCTATTGCAAATCAATTATAATTGAATAATTTTCGCTTCGATTATAATTGACTTGCAGTAGATATTGTACGAAGATTTTTTCGATCTAAAGTTGCATAACTGCTGTTCAATTAGGGGTTCAAAACTGGAGGTCCTTAACATCTGTATGTATGTTATACATGTATGTCTGTATGAATGTATGTATATATGTACATATATATGTATGTATGTATTTATGTATGTTTGTATGTATGTATGTATGTGCATACTACTTTGAGAGGAAGCTCAAAAATGTTACTTTTTAAATGATTTTGACAAAAAAAAATGCAAATTTTAGGCACTTATTGAATGATTTTGACAACAAAAAACATTTTTTGGCTCTTCTCCAGTTTCCCCTACCCTTTGTAAAATTCAGTACATGAACGGCTTCTTAAAACGGTTTTTCATGTTATAAACTGCAAAAAACTGTGTCAGCGCGAACCAATTTTTAAGTTTCTTTCATGCAAACTGCCGTAAGAACATTTTATGAACAGTTTTTTTTTATTTTAAGAGGGGTGTGGGAAACTAGAATAGAGCCCAAATTTTCATTGCGAGCGCGTCAAGATCAGTATATACTTAGATAAACAAAAACAAAAATGAAACAACTCCAAACTTCAGATCCCTCTAGAAGTTTCGAACGCAAAAGCGAAGCTGCGCTTCACAAACACTAGAAAAAAAACGACAAAAAAGTAACTCAATCAAGTGAAGTAATGAAAAGTAGAAAAAAAACCTCGACTAAGTAAAAATTTTGATTTGAGTCGGATTCCAACTTTCTACCTCGAGAATTAAGATCTCACATTCTTCTCTCTCAGTCACGGACGCTTAACAATCGACAAAAACTATTCGTAATTAAAGCAGCGAACAGATGCTAAGAATTTGTTATTACAGCACTTTTATTTGCGAGTTTGGTACAGATCGTGATTCTAACACTTTTAATTGCGAGTTTGGTTAGAAACAAAAGTAGAGACATCGGAAGACTCTATTTTTTTCAGTTTTTTACAATAGCGAGCGTAGAGTCATAATAAAACTATAAGCTCGGTATTGTAAGAAAAAGTAAGAAAAAAGTTAAAAGTAAAAGCTGATTAACAAAAAATGAGTAACAGAAATTAAATTTTTGCAGCAAAAAAATGAAATTGAACAGCGGGTGAACATCTTTAGCTTTGAACGTGCGAACGACTTTGTGTGCATTGAAAAATGCACGCTGACCCGCATCTCAACAAAAATTAAAGAACAATCGATTATAATGGAGGTAACGCGCGCTGAAGATATTAAACAATTAAAAACTTCCAAAAAGTATCTACTGATTACAATTTTCTAAAAAAAAGTACATAGGATGATTTTGACTTGAAAAAATTTTCCGCGCTTGCTCCGTTCATTATAACCGATCGGTCGACACATTTTCCTTTGTCAAGGGTGACGGTGAGTAACGGGCACAGAAGAAGCAAACGTTGAGTTGATTGTGCAATTTGTGTAAGTGTAGGTTTCGAGCAAGGGTTGACAAATTGAGTAGGCCGTACATTCAGATTGTTATGCAGAATCTCTGCATTACTCATTGCTGGAAAGTACGCAAAAATTTGTACGACAGGAAACAAAAATATAGTGAAAAAAATCATTGTATTGATTTTAAATGAGTTATAACTACTTCAAAATTTCACACAGAGGTGAAGCTGCGCTTCCCAAACACTAGCAAAAACACCTCTATAAAAGACAAAAATAATAATAAGCTTCAAAAAAATTTAAAAAATTCGGCTAGGTTTCGGAAACAAACTGCGACATAGAGATTTTGAGTCTCCATCACTAACCAATTAGCAACCGTCCCATAAAAATCACAGACCCTAGCCTCAATTAAAGCAGAGAACAGATGCTATGAAATTTCCAATGATACTGATCGTGATTATAGCAATAGTGCCACCAATTGATGAACACGTTGCCACTAAACAATGAACATTTTGCCACCAAATAATGAAATTATTTTGTGATTTAGGTCGGAAAAAGGAAGATTTGTACTAAAAAACTAACGCTCGCAAGCTCAAAAAATACGCAGCGGAAACAAAGCTCGATCATTTCCTTGAAAGACATTTTGGATGCTTCCGCGTGGGGTCTTTTCCAATGAAGTCTTTTGCGAAAACCTCTACTTTCCCTAAGTCCCTAGAGAAAGGAATAGTCTAGATACGAGCTTTTTTGCACTTCATTGCAACAAATATTGTGACCAACTCTCGGTTCTCATGTTCTTCTCTTTTTGTTCTCGAGTACCACTCTGTCCCGGCTTGTTTGTCCCTAAGATCTCTATCTGCTATTACAGTTGCTTCTTTACTATTCCTCGGGGTTTCAAGTCTAAGGAGCGGTTCTCCCAGTATGTCTTTTGGGTCTTCAAGCATAATCCATGGGTTATCATTTTCCTTGAAGGTGACCACCAGCCGGAATTGTTCCGACCAAATTTTAAATTACCATGGTGGGTCTAGGTTTACTGATGCCCAAAATACTGGGATTACCATATCAGTACCAATGTCCTGAGCTGAAAATCCTGCTAGCTGCGCCATTTGATATCCTTTAAGACTATCTGGAGAGAAAACTGAGTTAAAATTCCAAAGAATTAAATTGTTCTCTCTTAGAATATTTTTTCTATGTTGGAGTTGCTGAGATCCTCATGGCTTTCACTTAGTCTGTTTGATTGAGCGGTATAAGGTACTCAAAGTTACGTTACGTTACTGTTACTGCTAGTGCAGTAGCAGTACCACACCTAAAAGAAACTTCAAGTTTTAAGTCGCACCTTAAACTACAAAGAACAACACTTCCACTTTTATTTAAAAGGAAAGTTGCTTACAGTGAGCAGAGACCAGTCGAGCCGCAAAAATGGTTTTGATGAAAAAGACTTTCAAGTTCCACTGATACTAGAATGAACATCATTTACACTTGCAATGAAAGTTGCTTAGAGCGCAAGCCAAATCCGTGATGTGGCAACTTAGCCGACAAAAGTTGAACAGACAAACGAAAGTCCGACAATTCAATTTTAACCGAAAGTCTTTCAACTGCATACAAACTGAAAAACACAAGGTCCGGCCGAGACGCAAACCTCGCACCTTGGAATGCAAAGGCGACGGCCTTACTCCTGTGCCAATTGGGAAGAAACCTGAAAGAATAAAAGAATTTGAGCCGAAAAAAAATGTTGTCAAAAATTTTTTTGATCTAACAAGACTTAAAAATTTTACGAAATAATTTATAAACGCATCAAAAAATAATTCACCCTCAAAACTACGCACACAGTAGTTTGACTAAGCCAAAATAACATGAGCCGTAAACATTTCATCGGAAAAAACTAAAAAAAAACAACAAAAAACAAATTACAGAAATTTCAATTATAGTAACAACTGTTTAAATCAATTTAAAAACCAATGCTCAAAAACATAACAGATAATACAATCTTTTGTCAAGAAATCTATTTGAAAAAAGCTATTACCTAAAACTGAAACGACCTTCCCCTAAGTACCATCTACTTCTCACGAAAATGAGTATGTCAGCAGTATGCATGTCAGCAGTCGTGAAATTTACCATTCCTGCTAAAATTGACCATTCTGTGAACAAAGTAATTTATTAGAAAAAACTATACTACCCGATTGCAATACCCTTACTTTTCGCAAGAGTAAAGATACGTATGAATGAAAGATACATAGTATGAAACATAGTTATATAGTATGAAATTAATTTCTCTTCAAACTTATGAAAACAAACTATTTCTTCATTTCTTATATATTTGTGGACAGTAGATTAATTTCACTCATTAGATCGACAATTTTTTGCCTGGATTAGTTAAAGAAGTCGGACCAAATTTGTCACTGTGAAATATTTTCAACTAACCAATCATGATCTATTAATAATACTTGTAAAGCTTAATTTATCCTTTTTTTCAGCCAGAGAGAATATAGTACAGGTTAAAATCAGTTACATTCTTCTATTCTCTAACCTCACAAGAATACCAGTAAATTCAAGATCTATTGAGACTAGGAAATGTAAGAAAAAAGATTAGGATTGTTATTAACCTAAACGATATTACTCTATGAGAAGGCCAACACAGACCTAAAATCACGTTGATGTTTTAATGAACAAAAAATTGCCCAACCTCAAAGTTAACTATCGAAAAAAAATATGGTTTTATGTAAAATGTGAAATAATTCAGCACATTAGAAAGCATTATATTTCTTGGGAAAAAATGCCAGTTTTCCTGCTTTCTCGACGCTAGGTTGGGCTCTGAGATTCCCATACGTGAAAACATCACGTTGAAGAATTCCGAAAACAAACCAAAAATTGAGAACTGAAAAAATTCAGCATTAATAAAATTTCATATCAGCCCTCCCCCCCCCCCCCCCCAAAAAAGTTGTTCAATCTGAACAACATTTATATGCGGAGAGTTTTTTCCAAAAAATACCCACATTTCTAAAAAATAGCTAACATCACTGTAAGAAAACATAAATAACAATGTGAGCTAAATTGAATGTTAAGTAACAATGTTAAATAGTTTCCCAGCCTGCCCAAAATATGAAACTGAAACAATTGTATATCAAAATGAAACGAAAACCCAGATGCGTATGTAAAAAAAACTACGATTATCAGCCAATTGTTGCACACGCTTTCTTTGTTATAAATTAGCGTAACAACAACCGAAAACTATTCTTAAGATCAAGAATGGCCGTCGAAGTTTAAATATCGATATAATATCACGAATTTTGACAAAAAGTTGCATAAAAATAGAAATCGACGCCGAGCTAGTTTTGCTAAGGAAAAAGAAAAGCTTAGCACCTCGTTGACCTATTGATTGAAGTTAAAAGATCGCATTTCACAAGTCGTCGCTGTGCGAAAAGTACATTGCTATGGCTCTGTGAACACTTTTGCATCCTACATCTGCAAACTTTGGGTCGTAATCAGGAACGAACTTTATGGTGTCCAATATGCTTTCTACGATAGATGCCTTTAGGTAAAAACCAAATAGTCTTTTAACTTCATTCCGGATACAGCACTTCACGTGATTTTTGTCGAGCGGGAAGAAGGGCACGAAAAAGTCTATCAGGTGATGGGCAAAAATACGGCTCTTGTAAAATAAGCCCTGTTTGTCCGCGAATGCGATCGCCTTCAGAACCTCCATCTCAACTTCCAGAGTGGGTAGTATGTCATGGGCACTCAGACCCTGAAAAAAGGACGATGAACTTGTGAGCGAGTTTTAACAGAAGTAACTTCTAGTATAAGTTTTAGAAAAAATTTATACTTCCCGTACCTTACAAAAACTTGGAAACCAAAATACGCTCAAATGCCGAAAAAGGTGACATTTTCAAAAAGTCTGCTCCAATTCCCAACCCTGTTCGAATCAAGACTGAAAAAGCTTTTTTTTGGATTTATCACTCTTCATATTCCGATTATTATTTGTCGCATCTGATTTTGCGATAGAATGAAATTCAATACATCGATAGAATGACTATATAATTATTTTCAACGATAAAAACAAGACACGTGATAAAAGTTGAGAATTCATTCGAAAATTTCAAAAAAAAAATTTCAGATCTGATCATGTCTGATGCAATGCAGTTCAGGACAGATGTGCAATCTCACAAAAAATGGATTAACCCTGGGCATATCTGTATTTTTATTTTGTTTCTGTAAGGGTGATTTTTTGGTCCTTCTGGGTTTCAGATGAATTAAATTTTGTTTCTCAATGCTCGAATTTTTCGGGGCTACTTTGTTCGACAGTTAGCAGAAACTCAAAACGAGTTTGCAAATGTTATAATTTTGGTACACACGTAAAAACACTGGTGGTAAAAAACCTGCCGATGTTAATGTAATAAGTATTACCTTTTGGTCATATTGATAAGCCATATCAACCAGACCGTCGAATCCGGTGTTAGTAACAAGAATAAAAGTGGCCTTTCGACAATCAACTCCATATACTTGTTCGTTACTATCAAAAAACGGTCTCACACTTTCCAGGAGCTTCACGTTCATCAGGTGCGCCTGTTCCAAAATAATCAGCGCACGATCACATTTTTCCACAGCCCTCTTGATTCTGCCCAAAAGTTTTTCTCTATAATCCCGGAGGTCTTTCTCGTCATCCTGGTAAGGGAATTCATCAGGTACGTTTATGTAGTCAAAAAACCAAGTCTTCTCTCCTTCTTTGAACATTGTGTCTCTAATAATTTTCAGTGCGTGCGTCTTCCCAATACCTAAATTAGCACTAAACTATCAATTAATTAGCCTGTTCCGCTGCAAAATAAACGTGATCATTAATAAAATTTTGGCCGTCATTGAAAAATCTGCTAACTTGGACAACATTTAAATTTAATTATTAAATTTAAAACTCCAGCCGACATTATCAATGACATACGCATCAATTATTTGTACAATCGAAAACAAATTATCCGCCCAGGTTCAACGCTAGGCGCAATACCTTAAAGATGTTGGCTTAAAAGAAACAAGCAATTAATCGAGTTTTGACTTCGTAAAACTTTTTCTTCAAAAAACGTTTTTCAAATATTTTATCATTTAAGTGCTAACACTCTTAAACTATCACAGGATGTTCAAAGGATGGATTACAAAACAGTGCACAATAAACATCCATCTCTAATATTTCAAGTTTTTTTTTAATTTTCCACAAAATTTAAAGAATAAAATTGAGTTAAAAAACTCGGAAATTGATGCTGCCGATAATCTAAATGCAAAATCATTCCTTACATTTAGTCAACAGCTCCTTTAACACGTTATGCTTCTACTTACTGCAGTATACACCAAATAAGCTGCAAGGGTGCTTATATAGGGGCAGGGGCCAAACCGACAGAGACCGAAACTAATCGTCTCGCAGCATGAACGGAACTGAGACTAATTGTTTAGTTTATAAAAAAGTAGACTTTGGGAAATGATGCAAAAGGTTCAGGTCCACATCAACATAGAAATAAAATGAGCGGCTCAAAAAAGATATCAAGCATCTTTTGATTATCCAGTATTTAACTATAGAAAAATTTGTGAGCAAAAATGTTAAATTGGTACTTAATTGGATACCATCAACATTCTCAATAAAAGTCATCTTATTTTTATGCATTTTGTCAATCTGAATTGAAACTTTTAATTAATAGCTGCACGTCTAAAGTATTGAAGCTTAGCGTCTCCAAATGATGATCGAAGATTTACATGATTCTTTTTGACGTGGATAAATTTGAGTTTATTCACTCCAGTTAACGGTATAGTGATCTTTTCTAAGTGCTCCTATAAAAATTGCTCAATCACAATAGCAAACTGATTATCAAACATCAATTCATAAACGCGTTAACAGTGTAGCTCAATCACAATAGCAAACTGATTATCAAATATGAGTTCATAAACCCGTTAACAGCGACGTTTAAAGAAAACTACTCTAATAATTCTTTTTTGCATTTCGACATTTGAACTTTTTTTTCGTTATTACACACATAAATTGAAACCATAATGAATGACGGTATTACAAGGCTTATATTTATCTATGTCGATCACAGTAGCAAACTGACTACCAAACATCAGTTGATTAACTCTTTAAGAGTAACCTTTAAAAGATGACTAATTTACAATTTCTAATTCCAGATTATTCAGATAAACTTTCTATTCACTAAGCATGACACTTTGGAAGGGCTGGTCATTTTTCTATTTTCACTATTCAAAGTTCAATGACTGGAGGACATCCATTTTATTACGGCGAGAAAATTTTTAGGATTACACAATGCTCAATGTTTCTGATAGATAAGTTAACTTTTTCTAAGCTAGCATATTGCATTCGGTCACGTAAGTATTTTTTCCAAGAGCAAGAGGCAACACCCTTATCCTATATCGCTCAAGATTACAAAGCAAAAACTGATGATTTAAATCAAGCTTACAGAGCAAAAACTGGTGCAGAAATTCGCTTTCTTCAGATCAATAAAACACCGCTCAGCTTTTCTTTTTTCAGGAAACTTACTTGAATATCAATTAACACTTGAGCGATTGAATCAAAATATGACACTCCATTGCGGAAATCGAACTGTTCTCGACAAAACACTGAATTAGAGTTCCAAAAAATGCACTAATCTGTCGTAATGAATCAGTTCAAAAACTTTGCTCAAGGTTTCGAGCAGCGATTTTGTCCACACTTATTACTGCTAGCTAAGTTGCCATTTTTATAACGCACCACTACTGAAGCAACTTTTAAAAACATGAAGACAAATTCCTTTCTCAATGAAAAATTTTTCAAATTCGGGTAAGATAGGATGATAGAATGGGTGCAATTATTTTAACAGCATAGCAAGAGATACTATTTGGGTCACAAGAAGTCTTATTCTTTTTGTTAAGGAACAAAGTAGATATTTCTGATAAATTTGTTGACTCTTACCAGAACCAATGAACGTTAGCATTTTGTAAGGTTGGTTGAAATTTTTGATCAAACCAAACTACAAGCGAAGCACCTACCGTACAGAACAAAACCGTTGAATTCCAAAGCAAATTTCTCGCTTTTTTCTATCTTACTAAGATTATTCTGATTACCGTATAGAAACTGTTTAAAGATACAAAGAAGCTCTTAATTTTTATTTCCATCAAATTTTACTACTAATGACATTCTTATGAACACCTTATAGAGCCTGATTCAATTTCAAACTTCGCTTTCGAGACTTTTATAATCCAAGGGTGTTTTAATTTGTTTCCTGTTGCAAAGTCTTAGGAGCGCATCTTCTTTCTTGGACTATCTATTTTCTCAATATCTAACATCTCTTTGTTTTGATCACCTAAGATACTTGACCAGCTCAAATTAATGATTAGTTCTAACAGAAGGGCACATTGGTTTTCAGGAAGCAAGAGATGTGCAAATCATCTTTTCATTTGGACACAAGTTTTGTCAGCTACCAGACTTTTCATATCTACTCGATTGACATCTATGCTAGAATCTCCTACCAATATTGCTTATATAGATGGCGACTCCGCCTTCGCTGCTTTCTCCATTTTCACACCTGCAGGGTAGTACGTCTCAATATTATAAGAAATTACGTAATCAGTACCACAAAGCCAAGTCTCAGTTAAAAAAACAGAAGACAAATGAGTTTAATTATTTTCAACCTTTTTAGCAATTTTAAGGGTTGAATTGATTATCTATTTTTCTGTTCGTTGGAGGTATACTTAGCCAGATCAATTTCTAACATTCCCGATAGCTCTTGGCCACTTGCCTCTCGTAATCTTTTTAGGATCTACTTGTGTTTATCGTTTGCCACCGGCTTTGACTCATCCTTCAGTCTCTGAATTTAAACATTTGAAGTTCTTTTTATTGCACGGTCTTTCAGATTTTTTAAGGCTCTTTCAATGTTTACTGGGACTCAAATTGACTTTTTCATTTGGCAGTTGTTAATTGTAGTCATAAAAACCATATCGTTTGCTTTTCTCTGGATATCGATCGGCATCACGCTTTGGGAAGCGTTCACGGAAAAATATAGATTTTTTTGTTAGCCATCAGGTTTTTGGTATGTCCAAGAAGTTGACAGCGATGATATGTTGTGCTTTGTGTCAAAATAAACAAATTCAGCTATCACAGTGTGTGGATAGAACTTGTTGATTTCATTGATGTGTCGGCATGCCCTGATATCACAGGGTTTAACTTCGATTTGAAGACACTTGTCGCAGATGCTGGCGCAAAGAGTGTTCAAATCGAACGATTCATTCTCAAAAATAACTCAATCTTTCAAGTTAGACCAGACTGCTCTTGTTCTGATAACCTTTCCTCTTAGCTCGTAGTATCAATTTTCATGATCACAATTTCCTCAATTTGGTTTCTGATGATTTCTGTCTTTTGCTGCAAGTCTTCAATTATCAGTTTCAGGATCTAATTACATGAGACGTCCCAGACTGCAGAATCAACTTTAGTGATCATCTCTTGGATCCATATGAATTACTGCCATCTTAAACTATTCAATAAGTTTATCACAACCATTAGGCTAATTTAGAGATATAAAAGGAAAAAAGGCTATATTAAACTCGAGGCATCAAAAAAACTTTCGAGTAGCATAAAAACTATGTCACCGCGAAGTTTTCCTTAAATGAATATACTTTTCTAATCAATAATTTCAACACAAAAAACAAGTTTTTGAAAAAAAATTCAGATATAGATAATCTGCCGACTTCAGAGTTAATTATAATTAAATTTTTTTTCAAAAATAACTTAATTTCAATCATTTTGGCGTCCTGATTACATTCATGTTACTTTCCTGGAACTACATCCAACAATTTTGGTCAATTCAATTGAAAAGTTTTTTCAGACGTATCGTGACCTTTTTTGTATAAGCAAAAAGAATATAAAAACGTATAGTAACGGCGAATTGGTTCGTGTTTGAAACATACATTGTAACTGCTTGTTGTTTCGTTTTCAAAAAGACAATAAAAAAGTTATTTTGGAACCTCGAGTAGCAAAATCATTTTTTCACTGTGAGAGATGCTCTGTTATTCTCCATTGCGCTTTCTCAGTTTGTGCTGGCCGAGCGAAAAAAAAAGTGCTGATAAAGATTCCAAATGTGATTATGATTTTGGCATAAAATTCGAGATCAAAAGAGAAAACTTCATGTAGTACTTTCCCTTATTTTGTGATTCACAACAGAATCTTTTAAAATCTCATCCAGAGGTTTATCTGATTATCAAAAAGAAATTGAGAGTCAACAAGGACCAGTAAACCATATACTGATTTTTTATTGGTTGATCATAATTAAACATTTCAAATGGCTTACACTTTCCGAAAGACTCTTTCTCACATAATTTGATGAAACATTCAAGAGAAAAAAGGCCCCAGAAAACACTTTCTGATGAAAAATTCATTCTGTATGTATTGACAACAATTGCAAAGGCGGAGTATCATTATCTCAAAAATTGGATCCCTGCTGTAACCATAGAACTCCTTTTAAAAAGTTTCAAGAACAAGAAGATCGCTTAACATTTCCCTTGAGGTTTTGAAAAAAGCTGCTCCGAACAGTTTTCAGTGTATTCATTCCCTGTTTTATACAAGGTACGATCTTCTGCTTGATTCTGTGAAAAAAGCCGCATCTTACAAAGAAAAACTAATAACCATATAGGTTTAAGTTTTTAGTGTATTTATTCCCCACTTTATACAGAGCACGACCGTTTTGCAATTTTTACAGCAGCGAGAACACGACAAAAGCAGCTCTAGAAAGTGCAATAAAAAGTAGAAATAAGCCGAGAAATAGTATAAAGTTCGCATCGTCTGATATTCGAACCTGTGACGTACAGATAAAGAGTCTCACATACTAACCACTCCTCCACGCAAGACTAAAGGTACCACACACTAACCACAAATAAACCAGAGAACAGCTGCTATCCAATTTCCAATGCTACAGTGAAATTTCGAAATAACTAAAAACTTTAAATGAACACTTATATTTGCGTTACAAAAAAAGGAGGTTCCTAATGATACACTAAGCTGACGCTAGTGTAAACAATCAAGGAATGCACACTCAGTGATAGATTTACTGATGGCTATAATTTCGACAATGACTAATAACAACTGCTCTAGAAATTTATGACTCGAAGCACCATGACCACATTTAGTTATGACGTTCGCCACCTCATAAACATGGCTCTTTTCCAGTTTCCACCCCCTCGTAAAATTTCAAAAAGTTGTTCAAAACTTGTTCACACGGCATTTTGCATGCAAGAAATGTTGTGACAATTTTTTCACCTGTTCACGATGACACGTTTTAAGGCAGTTCATAACATGAAAAGTCATTTTAAATAAGTTTTCATTTATTAAATTTCCGAAAAAATCAAAGGGGGGAACTGGAAAAGAGCCATAAACATCAAAAAATGGCATACAAATTAAGTTAAGCGATTTAGTGGATTCAAAAACGTCCATGCTGTTTCTCCGCCAAGTGATAGCTAATTGTTAAAATACTTATTTTGAACAATCAGTAAAGGAGCTACATCAATATTTAAGTCATGTTTTTGCAAGTTTTTCAAGAATGATAAATTTTTCTCAAGATTATATTTTCGCTAGTAATATTGCAGTGTTTTCTTGTTAGCTCTGCAAAAATGTTTGGCCAGTTCGTTCCTTAATTTGGCGTCCAAGAACACGACTGTTTTTGCTGATAGTTGTTAACCATTTTCGTAAACATTTTCCCTTTTGAGCTATTTACGGGTCTTTTTACTTATTCCGCCCAAAAATCAGTATTTCAACATCTTCAACTGAAACTATTTTGCTTCAATTTGATTGGCTAGAAGTAGTCAAAAAAAATCCAGCACAATTTCAAATTGTTTTGTTTAGAGTTTTAATACCACATACAAATTAGCCAATTTATCTAAAAAGGTTAATTATTTTGAAGAGTTTTCAAATTGGAAAAAATAATCTGCCGGACCAAAAAAAAAACGAAAAATAACTAGATGAAAAAATGCCAAGCATCTTCTCAAACATCGGCCTTGTTAGAAATCGGCTAAAAATTAAAACAATAGCATTTGTTTTAACAAAACGATTCCGTGCGATCAGTGTTTTGCTCTTGGTATTTATACATTGAATACTACAAAATTGCAAAACTTGGAAACTTGGGCAGAAGAATTAAAAAGACCTTTTTTACTTCTGATGTATTCGGTCTTCGTAGTCATTTTATATTTCGATTGGTTTCTTTATTTGATGCAAACGGCTTTAAGCAGTTGTTTATTAGGGCGATTTTATACCCAAAATTATATTAACAAAATTTTTATTAAGCTGACATTTTTGGTCTCACAAAAACAAAACAAAACACAAATTTTTCTAACTTTGAGGGTCAAAATTTTATGAAAAATGGTGGTAATTTTAGAAATTTTAACTATATTATAATCAACACAATATGAAATAGTTTCCGCTCAGAGAAATTTTAATAGATACGTACTGAATTATATGATACGGCCCATACATGATTGGCAGTTACTTTTTCCAGATAACATTCAAAATTATAATACCGATGAAAAATGATATAATCTAAGCAAGCTCTGACATTCTTGACTTATGTAATCAATCATAAAAGCATAGCCAACAAATAGTGCAGAAAAAAAACTGATTTATTTTCGAAAAAACTTCAGTTTCGAATTTCAAAATAAAGGGTACATTGTCTTAAAGCTCTGATAAGTTCAAGGCAAGTTTAGGCCTGTTTTTTTAAAATATAAAATTGACCTAATTTAAGAAAACTCTGGATTCATGGGTAATGTTTTTTGCTGGGAAACCTGAAAATTAAATTCTACTTTCGAAACTAGAAATTGCGACCTAAAAAATCCTAAGTCAAAACGCGAAAAGTAAATTTGAACCTGATTAAATTTAAGATTATTCCTGCAAAAAAAATCACGACCTATACTAGAGCCTGAACTACGTTATAATCACCGAAAACCATCGTATTCATCTGATATTTCACACTAAAAAGAAGCATGTTTTCAAATTTATATCCAGAGGCGAGGCTGCGCATCGCTAACATTAGCAAGAAAACGACAACAAAGCAGCTCTATAAAAAGAAATAGGAAAAAGTAGAAATAAACCTTGAGGTTGTATAACTTTTGCTAGGTGTCGGATTCGAACCTGCGACCTCTCAGCCACGGACGCTTAACGATCGTTACACACTAGCCACAAATATAGTAGGGAACAGATGAGTTGAAATTTCTACAGAGCGATTATAGCAAACGTGTCACCGAATGAGCTCTTTTATTAGTACGGCACTTTTAAAAAAAGTAGTGTCATACTAATAAACTGCGCTCGCAAGTTTAAAAAATGACGATTTAATTATAGAAGGTGGTCGGTCGGTCTTACACAATAACCCATATCTATGTCAAATGCTCCTTTATCAACGTGATTGCATAGGACAATCGGATAAAAAATCACAGAACCCCAATTACAGGTAAGCTGCTGACCGGGTTAGTTAACATTAACTTTTATTGCCTTATCACTTTTGATATTGGAGAAAGTTTTTTCAGCTCATTAAAAAAAAGGAACAATGAAACAATGATCGTGTTTCAAATAGAAACCTCATAAAAACTGTACATATGTTACATATACCTGGCGATCCATGAAAAGACATGACAAGTGGTTTTTTCGGCTGGCTGTCCTGCCAGTGGTGCTTCAAAGCACTGATAATCATATTTTTTGCTGGCACTTGTCCACACAGATGTCGCTCTAAGTTCAAGCGCAGCTGAGTGCTATTTGAGGATACCCATGGATCTCTGCAGCACTCGTTTATGTAGCAGTAGGGCTTGTCTATCAGCATCGTTCCCAGGAAACCCACAACAGGAATGGCAGCGAGAGAAATCAGCATCTTTGGTTATCTACTGCTTATGATACGTAGGTTTAAACTTGAAGCAAAAAACTTGATATTCGGGTGTTTTTTCAGCAAAAAACAAAAAAATCGGATGGGATCTAGCGAAATATCATACTGAAACCCATTCACTCGCTATCCAGAGCTTAACTAAAAAAACCTCAAATGGTTTTGAAAAATGGCTTTTCGGAAAAATTAAAATACTTGTCTTGAATTGCCTGCCCACACTTCCACGTCACACGAATAAAAGTTCGAACTTTCAAGGTCGACGAATGCGCCCGCTAAATTTTAATCGTTGAAATTAAGCTTATTTGAAGTAAATTTAAACGTACGTCTACAGTAAGCTCATTTCAAATAAACTCAAACCGACCATCCAATAATCATCTCAAAACAATACTAAACAGAAACGTGTACAACGATTTGACATATTATTATTTGACAACTCAAGCTTACTCAGAGTTCAGAGTTCAGAAAAGCGTTATTATGTTGTAAACTAGGGGTAAAGAATGAAACAGCTGCTCAAATTTCAGGAAATTTTTTGCCGACTTCTGATAATTTTAAGCTCTAGGCTGTTTTTACTTAAGCCCACCAGCATCACTTCACTTTAAAAAGCCAGATAGTTATAACATTAGGCATGCAGACTAATTGGACTATTCCAAAAACATTGGTAGGCATTGGTCGGCATACAAATTGAGGATTTGAGCTGGAGGTGCGTATTCTAGTCTTTCAAGCTTCGCTGGTCAAATATCAAACATCAGAATGATAGACACACTAATTTTTTGAATAAGTCGAATTTCAAAGAAAAAAAAACAGATCCTCTGAAAGCTTCAAATTTCTGGAACAATTTACAATTACTATTTTTTTGATAAAATTAACCCAATGTGAGAAAACTGGATCATAAAATAAATTAAATAAATGTTCCGCAGTGAATCTGAAAAATAACTTGAAAATTATCGAACTTTTGCTGTTCGAAATTTGATATGCCTTCGTTTCAATAACGGATGGCTAGATGAACAGATAGATGGGCTAGATGAATGGCTTGTTAGACAGATGAATGAATGGTTAGATGGAAGGATGACAGGATAGATGGATGGCTAGATGGATGCACGACTGGCTAGTTTTCTGACTGGTTGGAACTCTGAGCGTGAAAAAATTTGAACACCACTTTTCTTTAAAACAAACAAAAACCATCAGAAACTATATGGGAGTCTTCCGAACGCTCAACGAACAAATCCAACAACTGTACCATATGTATACATTAAGAAGAGAGAATAAATACCTCTGGGATATGAACTATGGCATCGAATTTCAGAAACAAACACAAATTTCAACATACAAGTTTATCTAAGTACAGTCTATTCACAATTCGAAAATTTGTATCAAAGCAACAAACTATAGCGACCAGCTGACTTTCATCAAAAACCAATGACAAAGTCTAGTTACCTTAGGCTAAGTTGTATCCTTCATTTTGAACTTAAATACAACTAGCGCATCAATCGCACCTCCGGTGCTACAAAACCATTCTTCAGAAAACTGACAAACCATAATTCTGGAAAAATAAAAGGATTGAGCACTCATACTTGGACGCTACATTTGCAACCCCTGAATGTACCCTGACAGCACCTCACTATAGGGTTGAGAAAATCAAGCTCGGTAAATTTTTTGATATCTAATTTTTTTGGGAAAAAAAACGAAAAATCATAAAAAAGCCATATCTCGAAAACTAAACAGATTTGAGCAGTCATACTTGGACGCTAGATTTGTAGCCTTTGAGGGCACCCTGATAGTACCCCACTATAGGGTTGAGAAGTTCAAGTTTGGTTAGTTTTTTTTATATCCAAGCTTTTTGAGAAAAAAAATGAAAAAAAAATTTAAAAACGCCTTATCTCGAAAACTATAAGAATTTGAGCAGTCATACTTGAACACTAGATTTAGAGCCCTTGAGTGTACCCCGATAGCACCCCACTATGGTGTTGAGAAATTCAAGTTCGGTTAGTTTTTTTTATAAATAAGTTTTTTGAAAAAACTGAAAAAATCATTAAAAAAGCCATATCTCGAAAACCATAGGGATTTGAGCAGTCATACTTGGACGCTAGATTTGTAGCCCTCGAAATTACCCCGATAGCATCCCATTGTAGGGTTGAGAAATTTAAGTTCGATTAGTTTTTTATATCTAAGTTTTTTTTTAAAAAAAATCATAAGAAACGCCATACCTCGAAAACAAAAAAGAATTGAGCAGTCATACTTGGACGCTAGATTTGTAGCCCTCGAAAGTACCCCGATAGCATCCCACTGTAGGGTTGAGAAATTCAAGTTCGGTTAGTTTTTTATATCTAAGTTTTTGAAAAAAATATTAACAAATCAACAAAGTTTTTGAGCAGTTATACTTAGACACTAGATTTGCAGCCCTTCAGTGTACCCCGATAGCACCGAACTATAGGGTTGGAAAATTCAGGTTCGGTTAGTTTTTTTATATCCAAGTTTTTTGGAAAAAAACTGAAAAATCATAAAAAACGCCATATCTCGAAAACCATAAGGATTTGAGCAGTCATACTTGGACGCTAGATTTGCAGCTTTTGAGTGTAGCCCAATAGGTTCCTTTATAGGGTTGAAAAAATCAAGTTAGATAAGTTTTTTATATAACTAAGTTTTTCGAAAAAAAGGAAAATTTTTTTAAAAAACGTCATATCTCGAAAACCAAAAGAATTTGAGCAGTCAGACTTGAACGCTAGATTTAGAGCCCTTGAGTGTACCCCGATAGCACCCCACTATTGGGTTGAGAAATTCAAGTTTGGTTAGTTTTTTTAAAAAGTTTTTTGGAAAAAAAACTGAAAAAATCATAAAAAAACCATATCTCGAAAACCATAGGGATTTGAGCAGTCATACTTGGACGCTAGATTTGTAGCCCTCGAAATTACCCCGATAGCATCCCACTGTAGGGTTGAGAATTTTAAGTTCGATTAGTTTTTTATATCTAAGTTTTTTGAAAAAAAAAAATAAAAAATCATAAAAAACGCCATATCTCGAAAACCAAAAATATTTGAGCAGTCATATTTTGACGCTAGATTTGCAGCTCTTGAGCGTACCCTGATAGGGCCACAATATAGAGGGGTTGAGAAAATCGAAAATCAAGTTCGATTAATTTTTTTATATTTAAGTTTTTTGAGAAAAGAATGAAAAATCATAAAAAACGCCATATCTCGAAAACCATAATGATTTGAGCAGTCATACTTTGACTCTAGATTTGTAGCCTTCGAGTGTATCCCGATAGCACCGAACTATAGGGTTGGAAAACTCAGGTTCGGTTAGTTTTTTTATATCCAAGTTTTTTGGAAAAAATTGAAAAATCATAAAAAACGCCATATCTCGAAAACCATAAGGATTTGAGCAGTCATACTTGGACGCTAGATTTGCAGCTTTTGAGTGTAGCCCAATAGGTTCCTTTATAGGGTTGAAAAAATCAAGTTAGATAAGTTTTTTATTTAACTAAGTTTTTCGAAAAAAAGGAAAAATTTTTAAAAAACGTCATATCTCGAAAACCAAAAAGATTTGAGCAGTCAGACTTGAACGCTAGATTTAGAGCCCTTGAGTGTACCCCGATAGCACCCCACTATTGGGTTGAGAAATTCAAGTTTGGTTAGTTTTTTTTAAAAAAGTTTTTTGGAAAAAAAACTGAAAAAATCATAAAAAAAACCATATCTCGAAAACCATAGGGATTTGAGCGGTCATACTTGGACGCTAGATTTGTAGCCCTCGAAGCTACCCCGATAGCATCCCACTGTAGGGTTGAGAAATTTAAGTTCGATTAGTTTTTTATATCTAAGTTTTTTGAAAAAAAAAATAAAAAATCATAAAAAACGCCATATCTCGAAAACCAAAAATATTTGAGCAGTCATATTTTGACGCTAGATTTGCAGCTTTTGAGCGTACCCTGATAGGGCCACAATATAGAGGGGTTGAGAAAATCGAAAATCAAGTTCGATTAATTTTTTTATATTTAAGTTTTTTGAGAAAAGAAAGAAAAATCATAAAAAACGCCATATCTCGAAAACAATAAAGATTTGAGCAGTCATACTTGGACTCTAGATTTGTAGCCTTCGAGTGTATCCCGATAGCACCGAACTATAGGGTTGGAAAACTCAGGTTCGGTTAGTTTTTTTATATCCAAGTTTTTTGGAAAAAAACTGAAAAATCATAAAAAACGCCATATCTCGAAAACCATAAGGATTTGAGCAGTCATACTTGGACGCTAGATTTGCAGCTTTTGAGTGTAGCCCAATAGGTTCCTTTATAGGGTTGGAAAAATCAAGTTAGATAAGTTTTTTATTTAACTAAGTTTTTCGAAAAAAAGGAAAATTTTTTTAAAAAACGTCATATCTCGAAAACCAAAAGGATTTGAGCAGTCAGACTTGAACGCTAGATTTAGAGCCCTTGAGTGTACCCCGATAGCACCCCACTATTGAGTTGAGAAATTCAAGTTTGGTTAGTTTTTTTTTAAAAAGTTTTTTGGAAAAAAAACTGAAAAAATCATAAAAAAACCATATCTCGAAAACCATAGGGATTTGAGCGGTCATACTTGGACGCTAGATTTGTAGCCCTCGAAACTACCCCGATAGCATCCCACTGTAGGGTTGAGAAATTTAAGTTCGATTAGTTTTTTATATCTAAGTTTTTTGAAAAAAAAAATAAAAAATCATAAAAAACGCCATATCTCGAAAACCAAAAAGATTTGAGCAGTCATATTTTGACGCTAGATTTGCAGCTCTTGAGCGTACCCTGATAGGGCCACAATATAGAGGGGTTGAGAAAATCGAAAATCAAGTTCGATTAATTTTTTTATATTTAAGTTTTTTGAGAAAAGAATGAAAAATCAGAAAAAACGCCATATCTCGAAAACCATAAGGATTTGAGCAGTCATACTTGGACTCTAGATTTGTTGCCTTCGAGTGTATCCCGATAGCACCCCACTATAGGGTTGAAAAATTCAAGTTCGGTTAGTTTTTTCATATCTAATTTTTTTGAAAAAAACTGAAAAAATCATAAAAAAACCATATCTCGAAAACCATAGGGATTTGAGCGGTCATACTTGGACGCTAGATTTGTAGCCCTCGAAACTACCCCGATAGCATCCCACTGTAGGGTTGAGAAATTTAAGTTCGATTAGTTTTTTATATCTAAGTTTTTTGAAAAAAAAAAATAAAAAATCATAAAAAACGCCATATCTCGAAAACCAAAAATATTTGAGCAGTCATATTTTGACGCTAGATTTGCAGCTCTTGAGCGTACCCTGATAGGGCCACAATATAGAGGGGTTGAGAAAATCGAAAATCAAGTTCGATTAATTTTTTTATATTTAAGTTTTTTGAGAAAAGAAAGAAAAATCATA